GGGTTTGGTTTGATTTTCATTGGGTTTGCTTATTTTTGCCATTATCCAAGTGCTTCAATAATACCTGCATAAAATACCCAATCCTGCTCTTTTGAATCCTCTACCCCTTCTTGGGAAGCCAGTGAACACCCATCACTACTCATATGGCTGAAATCAAAGATGAGAAATAAATAATTAGATCAGATTTATCAGTAAGTTTTTATTTCTAATATTCTAAATTGAAAAAGGACATTTAGGACATTTGCCATAAAATTACAACAGACAGATTTTTAAAATCACTTCAGATAGACAATTTTGAATTAAAATGTAAATGTACAGTATTATTATTATTATTTTTTGCAAGTATACCCAATATTGGGAAAAGGAAGACACATGACACACTAAATCACAAACTAGCCAATTGCATTTTAGTCCAATATGTCATGCAAATTCAGACAGTGTGATTTTGTTCAGTGTGCAGTAAAAGACCAGCAATAGATATGATCATATAAGTCTTTCCTGCAACTATGTTGTGCAGAGTTTGCTAGTAGATTGGACTCAACTCTTAATGTGAGGATCAATGCCATAATTTTCCAGCAAAAATGTTTTGACAGCTGAAAATCAACACAAGAAAGGGAAAGTAATCCTAATTAAGAAAAGTTTGGGGAAGCAACTACAAGGGGGCCTGAGGACAAGAAATATATAGGGTATACTAAAAACCAGGCCCTATAGGTAGTCCTTGACTTACAACCATTTGTTTAGTAACCAAAGTTACAATGTCACTAAAAAAAGTGATTTACAACCAGTCCCCTACATTTAACAACTTGCAGTATCCTTAATTTGGGCACTTGGCAACTGTGACATGTACTATATTTACAACAGTTATACTGCAGAGCCTGGAGTTATATAATCATCGTCTGCAATTTTTTTAGTCAGCTTCCAACAGACAAAGTCAATGGGGAAGTTGGATTTGCTTAATGACTACGCGATTCACTTACAACTGCAGTGATTTACTTAACAACCTTAACATAAAAACAGTCATAAAATCAGACATGACGACTCACTTAACAATCACCTTGTTTAGCAACAGAAATTCTGGTCCCAATTGTAGTCATATGTTGAGAACTGCTTTTGTTAATTATTTTTCTAGAGAAAAATGTTACTGTATTTAGGCACGTTCCAAGATTGTGTGTCAAATGAATAGGAAAGTGTTTAGAAGAAATAACCCATTCAAACATTTAAGTTAATGTATACAAGGCAATATCTATATGGGGGCCTGACTTTGGTAGACCTTGTATTTGTTTACCTAAGTGCCATATAAAGCTACAATTACAGCTTCAGGAATTTGATTAATTGGTAATCAATTCATAAATATTCTTTTAGATGGCTTTGTTTTGCATGCAACTGTTCAGTGGCCTAACAATGAGGACAGTCCAGTTCACTATCATTTAACCACTCAGACACTCTTTAAGCCCTTTTCATGTTGAAGAGAGAGAAGTAATCCTTGACTTAAAACAGTTCATTTAGTAACTGTTCAAAGTTACAACAGCCTAGAAAAAGATGGCTTAATGACCGATTATCACACTTATGATCGTTGCAGCATCCCCATGGTCATGTGATCAAAATTCAGATGCTTGGCAACTGTCTCATATTTATGATGGTTGCATTGTCCCAGGGTCATGGGATCACATTTTTTGCGACCTTCTGACAGGCAAAGTTAATGGCAAAGCCAGATTCACTTAACAACCGTATGATTAACTTTGCAACTGCAGTGATTCTCTTAACAACTTTTGCAAGAAAGGTCATAAAATGGGGCAAAATTCACTTAACAAAGTCTTGCTTAGCAACAGAACTTTTAGACCCAATTGTTGTCGTGAGTCGAGGACTACCTGTTACCTACCCCTGTCCTCTTCTCAACTGAATCACTTCCACAGGGTTGTTGTGGGGCTGCATTATTGGGTTTATTAGAAATAAAAGCTGCCTGGTATGTTTATGTTCTTCCCCAACAGTTGCTTTTTATACATGTTTGATCATTTCTGTTGCAAAATTTTAAAAAGTAACATGAATAACAAATATCTTCTATATCCCAGAGTTATTAGAATTTGGCCAGTATACAAGTTTAAAAAATAATTTTAAAAAATACACTGGCTGGGAAGGATAATAGCTGTCTCCTCCCATTCACCCCTCTCCCATTGCTTTTACAATTTTACAAAAAGTGGGTTGCTTTTACATCCACTCTGAGGAAGCCAGAGTTTGCAGAATTCACTAACGAAAGAAACTGCCTTTTCCCCTCTGGTTGACTTTTAGGAAAATAAGGAACAGGATTACAATAATGCCTTCCAATATTGCAAAAGGTCTAATTTTAGAAAGAAGAGGGGGCAGAGAACAAGCACATCCAAAAAGATCAATGTAACCATCAGTTGAAGGCTGAAGAGAAATTGGAAAAGATGGGGACCAGAGAGGAAAGAGCACATTTGCCAGCACCACCAAGGAAAGGAGATCAAGGTCCCATCTGGAAGGGCAAGAGGCCAAAAGCACAGAGCAGATGGAGCCTGGTTGCGACAGCTGGTGTAGACGTGCTTTCATGTGTAAAGTTTGCTCCATAGAGGCCTCAGTCTATGAGCTTCCAAGGCAGCCTTATGTTAGCTGCCCGCCCTCTTCTCATGCTAGGAAACTCAAAGGAGAATGCCTGGCACACTTCTCAGGGGCTTCTGCTTAATTAAAACAGGGGGCTTTTAAAACATTTTATAATGCAGGTCTTAAAAGTTCAGGGAAGCATGGCTGGGAAGGAAGAGAAATGAGTTTCTTTAGCAGTACAGTCCAACTATTCCTCTAGTACTTTCAGTGTTAAAAGGCAACATGAAAATGCTGGTGAAAAGTGTCGTCCAAAATAGAACAATATCACTGATTTCAAGCAATCATCTTTAGACTTTCCCGACATTACTTTATACTGTAAAGGGGCTGAGTGTTAGGCAAAATATCCTTATGACTTTTGCCCTCCTTCAAGTACATTATCATAGGACTTTTCCTGTATTGCCTCTTCGTGGCTGCAGGTGGCAGCAGATCTGCAGCCTTGGCTGATCTAAAAAGCTGACTACATAAGCCAGTGAGTATTTGGGTAAGAGACTTTTGTTATCCCCCAGGTTGTAAAGCAGATTGGGAAGACGGCTGGTTTGGTTTTGAATTACAAAATGGCAAATTATATCAATAAAGCAATGAAGTTGTTTATGTGGTCAGGTGGCACCAAGCTTCACTGAAGGAAGATGTGACTTCTCTATGCTTCTGCAACTTGCCTCTTTCAGATACAGAAAGAAAATTTTCAAAGTTGCTATTCACCAATATTATGAAAGCAAACATTCCCTGTAGTTTCATGATTAATGACCTTTAGAAAATGATTTTTTTTTTTTTACTTTATGAGCTTCATCAGCAAGTCCCAAATTCTCTTAACAACTCATCCTTTTAAAGGATAGGCCAATTGCTACTATTTTTATGCCAAACAATCCAAGCACTAAATGAACATTTTTGGAACTAGCCATTACAGTTGCTTCTTTGCCCAGCCAATGCTACATATGTAATCATAAGAATCAATATATGACTTAGTCAAAAGAAAAATCTATTGGCACTTTGTTCCAGTTCCCAAGTACAGACACCAGAGTCATGAGCAATCTGTGATTAGATGCAGAAAATCACAGCTCCCAAAAGCAGTTGCTTATTTTTGTATTATGCTAATTCAGTATAAGTATTGGGAAACTATACCTTACTATGATTATTTCACCCTTTGTTTACAAAAAATATCACATAGTTTTTACGAGGGCAATTTAAAAATAAACCTCCGTTTGGTTATCAATGACAGACACTCACAGATACTGAACTTTTATTATACACATTAGAAAACTACATTACATTTTGACATAACTGCCATTCAAATTGAGACATTTGTCATAACGTCTTACAGGGTTTGAAATTCCTTAGTAGTAGTCAGTCAGTGCCAAATTTGAGCTATGGAGGGGATGATCAAAAACATCCCAATGGAACTGCTTCAGAAGTTCTTGAGTGCGTCTAGTGGCGTGCGGGCGAGTATTATTGTGAACCAACCCCACACCGGAAGTCAGCATGTCCCGACACTTATTATGGATGGCTCGTTTTGAGTTTTTGTAATGTTTCAGAGTAGACTTCTGAATTGATGGTCGAACCACGCTCCATGAACTTTGCCAGCAGTGTTCCTTTGGCATCTGCACATTTGGCGAGATTTTCTATGCACCACTTCTGGTGTAGTATTGGTTCATGATAATCCTCGCCCGCACACCGCTAGACACACCCAAGAATTTTTGAAGCAGTTCTATTGGGATGTTTTTGATGACCCCCCCCCCCATGGCCCAGATTTGGCACTGAGTGACTACTACTAAGGAATTTCAAACCTTCTAAGACATTATGACAAGATGTCAAAAAGTAATGTAGTTTTCTAATGTGTATAATAAAAGTTCTGTATCTGCAAGTGTCTGTCATTGATAACCAAACGGAGGTTTATTTCCAAATTGCCCTCGTATTTGCAATCCAAATCTGGAAGCAAACCAAGGGAGATGTGCAAGATAAAAAGTGCTTGTGGCTCTTCAGTTCTACCAAGTTGTCTCTAATTCTGGTCATATGCCCCAGTTCTGTTATCAGAAACTTCCACTTTAGCACAAAGAATATGAAATCACATTACCTGACCAGGCTGTCAGCACAACATATTCTACCAGCTTGCCCACCTCACAATTTTCCCATGGCTTCCCTTTCCATACTCTTCCGGTTCTTAACTTTTTCCTGTTTCCTGTTTTCCCTGAGCCAATTCTGTATTTCAGTCCTGGATTAAAGTGTTGAAACAAATGTATTGTTTGGGCATAGACCATCCAAACCCAAACATATTTTCAAATGTTGAAATATATTTTGGTCATTTTGCATACCCCTAGGATCCAGTGATCTAAAGCAAATAATTTTGATAAGTTCTTAATAATAATATGCTAAAATTATATCAACTTTAATCATGTTAAAAATTTTATTGAAATCTCAGCCATTTTTAAAAATGTATTTTGTAAAAAAAAAATGGGGGTGTTAATAACATGCGCAAAATTGTGTAATGGTGACCACTTTCTGAAAAATGCTGATGTCTGGTTGTTTGAGTATAGACTGGGAAGTCCCCACTATTCCTAAACAGGAGATGAACTTGAAAGATATCCAATTGCTCAGGGCCACAAGGCAGCAAACAACTGAATTTTCTGGTACTTCTACCCTCTTCAGATTTAAGTAAGCCAGTCTGAAGCTGAGCATGTTTATCTAGGAAGAAAACTCCACCAGACATACCCAAAAAAAGGCTAAAGCATAACATTATTTGTTTGCTTTTTGTATACTGTGATATAGAAATTAATCTATTATGATTTATAAAGCCATGATGGATTGATTGTTCTATAAACCAGTTTTTAAATTATCAATTTAGCATTACATGTGAATGTAATATTGGATAGCTACCTCAACTGTCTTCTGGAGGGACAGAGCTTTTCCGTGAAGTACTGTATTTTCCAGCCTATAAGACGACTCAGCGTATAAGACGACCCCCAACTTCGGAGATTTGCATGGTTTAGGAAGTCGTCTTATACGCCGGAAAATACGGTAGTTTCAGTGCTCTACTTTATCATAAGCTGTGCTACAAACTTACATAGAACACCTCTTGCTGGTAGACTCACAGTGCTTAATTTTAATTCATCTTATTATGTTTTATTTTATAGTATGTCTATAGGGTTTTGATTGGTTTGGTTGGACCAATATGCTCAAGTTATCCACCCTTAGTGGATAACAACATCAAGGGTGTAAATGTGGAGAGACACAGAGCCCAGCCCATCTGCTGGTATGTCAGCTACTACCAGAAACATACTGATAATGACTTATTTTTGACCAATGACAAAGCCAAGAAGGTGGCTTCATTCTGCCAATCAAAAGTTTGATCTAGACACAAAAGAAGATTGGTTGGTCTGTGAAGACTGTTTTATCCTAAGATGGATATTTATGGTTACCGTACTGTTAACTGTTCTGAGTCTCTAGGATAGGCAGTATACAATTATTGTATAAACAAAAAACTAAATAAATACTGTAATACCTTCTATCCCATTGAGGCACAAGACATGAAAAGTAAATTTAACACATAAACGTACAGATTTTTCTCTCGTCCCTCCTTTTATTTCACATGAAGCATTCGTCCTATTCCACCAATAATTTTTTTTTTGCCATCCATTAATTACAGTTTTGATGCCTCAGTAGAAATGGAAAAGCTACTTCTTTGATTTTTACTAAAATAAAGCTACCATTAAAAAAAATTAAACACATTTTTAATAAAAACAATCCCATTACTATCCTGTCCCCTTTCCCCAAGCATTCATCCTGAGCCAAATTACCAGTAGTGGGAAATAAGACAATAAGTTAATAGTTCTTTATGCTTAAGGGTTTCAAGAAAAACACTAAAATCTTCTTAGTGTGAAGTTTTCTTTGATGCTTTCCCAAATTTGGCATCTAGGCCAAGTCCTGCAGAAAAACAAGTAGGAACATTAATTGGGATTGGAAATGATGCTACAGGGCAAAAGGTTGGGGAGGGGATGATTTTGAATAAAAGAGAATAGATGATCAAGGTTTCTAACTTGGGATGATTTGGAACACACCAAGCTACCCCTAGCAGATTAGAAGCAGATTTTCAGCTTACAAGAATAACCCAGAAACAATGATGTAGATTTAAAAGCATCTCACTTAATAGCACTCTGTACAAGTAATTATTATCTGTAGGAGTACAGTATGAAGCAGATTTTATATCTGCTGAGCTAAGATAGAATAATTGCTCAACCCTGGCACAACCACTAAAAGTAGTGTTATAGTGAGAAGGAGATGTGATAACAAGCAAAAGACAATCACACAGTTTAACTTATCTTAAAAGCAAACTGAAGGTGCAGACGAAGCAAAACAGAATAGGTTAAAATCAGTTGGGAAAACATGATTTAGTTTAAAAATTGCAATCTTTTGACTATCAGCAACTTTACCTGAAGGGTTAGTTCAGATTTTCCCAACCTAGGCACTCTCCAGATGTTTAGGTTTTAATCCCCAGAATCCTTCGGTCAAAATAATCATTACCTAAAATTCTGGGAACTGAAGTCCACAGTTGCAGAGAATGTCTAAATTGCATCAGCCCACTCTCAAGTACTCCTAACACCCATAGTTAAGCAAGAAAAAGTCTTCTCTTTGGTCACGGTGTCTCACATAGGAATACTATTTTCAATTCTTCTGACATTTCAGCATCACCAATATCTTTCTGCTTTCTTTTTTAAATCATCAAACTTTTCCAGCATATTAAATGATTTTTGCCTAACCTTCACTATAGCTGAGCCAGTGAAGATTAGATTTGGTGGAGTACAGTTTGAGGGAAGAATGGCATATAGGAAAAAGTATACATCATTGTAGCTGCTAAGGACCCTATAAATAGATTTAAGTTAATTAAAACTAATAAAACCTATACACCTAGAGAAGTGAGAAGCCCAGTGAAATAGCTAACCAGGTTTCTATCCTGCAGGAAATCATATAAGTCAAAAGAAGCTGAACTCTTACCAAGGAATACCAGGGTGGTGCCCATCCACTGTAAATTACTGATAGGATTGGCAAATAGAATGACTGAAGCCAAAATGGTGAAGAACTTGCGAGTTGTGGTGATAATAGAGCAGGTCAGAGGCCCAAAATAGACCACAGTCATGAAAATGAAAGTCTGCAATAAAAATGGGGGGGAGGGGGGACATGCAAGCTTGGTCAGAAATATATCTTGTATTACATTGATCTTGTAGCCTCCCTGTGAAAACATCTTGCCTACAATTGTTTACTATAGAAGATCTCTTTTTTTATTATTATTGAGCTTGCACACTTCTGAACTGGTAATGCAACAAAAAACATGCAACCTTGGAGACAACATAGAAGGAAGAAGATAATACAAGGCTAAAAAGAAAGAATATCCATTTCAAGCAAATAGACTGAGGTGAAATTTATAATGGTAACAGCACCACAGTAGGGAATTTATTATGTAATTGGAACTTTAAATATTGTTTCAAATAATAAAGAGCCTCTGGTATTTCTGGGAGGCTTGCTTTAATCATGTATTTCATGTATCATTTTAAATCTTGATTAATAAATAATTCTGTGAATTAGAGTGCTTTTAATTTTTTGTAAAAAAAATTAGCCAAACATGAAAAAGAGAATTTGGAGACATAACCAAAGCAGGAATTAAAGTCATCCAAAACCATCTAAAATTTGTGAGCTGATAATAAACCCTGGGTTAAAGCTGATGATTCTGGATTGTTTTTGTTTACATAATTATCCTGCATTCAGATAGCAAAAAGAATTCCTCCTTGTCCATTTTGCATGTCCACCATATAGTTTATCTGCAAAGTGTTTTATTAAACCAATATTCCTGATTTAATGTGACCAGTTTGAATACACCCAAGTCTATTTCATACAAGAAAATCTTAAGAGGAACACAGACATTTGCAAGGGATGAATGAAGTATTCTACTCTGATAGAATCTCACAAACAAACCATTTGGGAAGTCAAGATACAGGTAGTCCTTGACATAAAACAATTTGTTTAGTGACTGATCAAAGTTTCAACAGCACTGAAAAAAAGTGATTTATGACTGTTTTTCACACTTACAACTGGTGCAGCATTTCCATGGTCATGTAAACAAAATTCGGATATTTGGCAACCGATTCATATTTTTGATGGTTTGCAGTATACTGGGTCATGTGATCACTTTTTGCCATCTTCTGACAAGCGAAATAAATGGGGAAGCCAGATACACTGAAAAACCATGTTACTAACTTAACAGTTGCAGTGATTCACTTAACAACTGTGGCAAGCAAGGCTGTAAAATGGGACAAAATTCACTTAATAAGTGTCTCGCTTAGTAACAGAAATTTGGGACCCAATTGTGGTCATTAGGTTGAGGGCTACCTGTACTTGAAAAATAGCTGGTATTCTTCCTTGTAACATATTACTATGTAGCACATACCGCATTTACATCTGTGGTACAGCATAATGTTGACAGTTAAAGCACCTCATTGTCAAACAGAAAAAACTAATTGCTCACCTGACCTAAAGCACTGGTTAGGCCAAAGAGAAGGATATTATAGATGATGGTAGGATAACGCTCAGTGAAACTCAAAAATTCCCAAAGCTCACCTGTAAAGAAAATACCTAGCAAAAAAGAAAATATGAGAAAATAGAACAGAATAACAAAACTTCTTACTGTGTTTTGACCATCCTGTGACCAGTCCTATTTGGCTTCTAAACTGTATTCTTTTTAACCAGACATGTTCTATGACAAGCAGTGAAACTCAGGTAATGCAACGTTGTAAGGGGCAGATCCACTAATACATCCCAGCATTCCCAACATGCCTTCCTCCTGGGCTAAATGGGAAAGTCAACTCTTAAATGCCCTCCTGAAAGCCAGGATGGAACTGGTAGACCACATTTCCTCAGGGAAAGTGATAGAAAATGCCCATTTCCTAGGTCCTGTCAAAAGCCATTCTTAAATAGATGGGACCTGGAGGGGGTTGACCGTATTTGATCTGATTGGCTAGGCAGATCAGTATGGGAGATGGTGATCCCAGAGATGACCTTGCTGAAAATCCTACAGGGTCTTAAAACGGCAATCAGCATCTTGGAAATTCCTGGAATCCAATTGGTGACCAATACAATTCATATAGTAAAAAAAAAAAAAAAAAGGGAAAGGCTCTTCTTCTCTAAAACATCTTTCCTGGAGAAATGGGGAATTTTCTGGATGGGGTAACCAGATGGTCCTAATCATTTATAACCAGCCAGTTATGCCAATGGTCAGGGATGATGGGAGCTGTAGCTCAAAAATTTTGAAGGTAGTAAGAGAGGGAGGCAATGTTGTTCTCAGAAGATGGAAGAGCTTGATAATCTGATGCTGCAAAAGTTTGCTTTTATAGAGGTGGACAGATTGGATCTTACATTGAGCTATGCACACTTCTCACAGATTCCTGCCCAAGTCAGAAGGCACTGGGGCATTATTTCTGTATGTTTTAGTCAGCTCAGAAACTGACTGGTACCTTGCTTTCTGGACACTTTAACTTAAAGAGGACCAGCCGACCAGCACACAATCCCTTTTACAGCTTCTGCTGAATTGCACTTCACACTATTTCTGTAAATGCCAGTTGATTGAAAAGAGGGGAACAATTGCTCTCCAAATTACTTTGGCTGCAAGGGCTGCTCCTTTTCATTAATTATCAATCTTTTCTCCTAAGGTAGTCTCTCTGGAGAGGATCTAACCAACACACACAAAAATAAAGAGTATGGTTTAACTCTTTGCAGTCAAAGAAAATCAGAACAATGTTTATATTCCTGGAACAAGGGAGACACCAAATGGAGGAACAAAGCATTACTGCCAACCTGCACTTGGATTCCTGCCTACCCCAAACTGTGGCCAGAAATAGCTTTTGGGAGAGAGGGGGCTGCCAGCTGGCTGCTGCTGTAGCAGCACCACTGCTCGCCCTTCCGGAGAAGAGCTATCCTACTTCTGAAACAAGATAAGATTGGGTGCAGTATGAATTGTGATATTAAAGCAAAATAAGGGCACATGCAAGTTGTCCTAGGGTAACCATTGCTATGGAGTTATTTTAAAGAAGCTTCCTGAATAATTAAGTATTATACAAAGCAATATTTACTCTAATGCAATTAACAGCAATTTATGTGTGGAAACAACTTTCACCAGGTGAATATTCAGTACCATAAAACATTATATATGAAGATGGAAGGAGAATCTACCATTTACCAATGAGACAACTGAGGCTACTCCAAGCTTTACAACACAAGGATTCCCACAAATCTCAAAAGTATTGTACTTGATTTGATTCTGTGCGTGTGCGGTGTCTCTCTATCTCTCACTGAATTCAAATCAGCATGATTTTTTTCTTCTGCTCAATCAAAAGAATATACTTACCAGCACCCAGGAACAAAGTGGACCATAGATTAACATTTAACATCATATGATTGGAACCAGTCTGGTAGTGAGCTCTCATATGGTCTTGAGACACCCCAGTTAAACCATCCAGCGTCAAAGACAGCAACTAAAATGATGAAGGGAAAAGAATCGCAGTCTAATGTTGATGAAGAAAAGCACCACTGTTTTGAACAATTTACATCCCCGTAACCACACAGGAATATGCAAGTACTGTCCACTGGGTTCAGATATTAATTGCATTCGCAAATTCTGTTAAATTAACTGAGTTCTGCCCCTTAACTAGCCTGTGAGGATGGAATGTTATCATTCTTAAATCTTCTTGTTGGAAAACATCCAGAATTTTGATGATAAATTTACATTTATGTTTTAGTAGCGATTGCTTTCAGAAAAATAAATAATTCACTGGTCATCTCTTCCTGACTGTTGGAAATACTAACTCAGGCAATGCCTGATGTTTGAAGATTTGTACATGAATCGATCCCATCCTACCAGTCACATAATATCAACAATATTTATTTTCCTTTATCTCCTTTTCCTTTTTTTTGTTAAACTCACTGTGGAAGTCTGACCTTTAGAAGCAAACAGATTAATATTAGAAACATAGAAAATTGATGGCAGAAAAAGACCTAGTGGTCCATCAGGTCTGCCTTTTGAAGTTTTTTTGTTTTTATCTTTTTAATTATTATTTTTATGTTATTTATTTTTAATTTTTTTGTCAGATGATGGACATTTGCTTATCCCAAGCATGTTTAAACTAGGTTACTCATGATTGACCCACTAACTCTGTTGAAAGTTGTTTCCAAGCTTCCACTGTGAAGTAATACTTTCTAACATTACTTTTAAAGTTCCTTCTTGTTAGTTTGAGGTTCTGGATATTTGCTTAATATTGAAAGTACTGCCTTCTAAAGCCCTATTCACACCCTTAATTTATTTAAAGGTTTTAATCATGTCACCTTTTCCCTTCTGTCCTCCAGGCTGTATATATTCAGTTCCTCTAATCTCTCCTGTTATGTATTCTCCCTCAGACCCTCTACCATTTTTGTTGCCCATCTCTGGACTTGCTCAATCTTGTCAATATCTTTTTTTAAGTGAGGTCCCCAGAACTGGACACGTGATCTCAGTTAATTAACAGGGTCTGACTAAAGCCCTATATTAGGACCTCCTTTTTCCTGTCGGTGATCTGTTTAAATGATGCATCCCAGAATTTTGTTTGCTTTCACAGCTTGTTCACTCATTGTTTACTCATTTTGCAATCATATGCAAACCTAAATCCTTTTCTTCTGTCTAAACAAATGCATGATCATACATTTAGAAATATTAAACTGCACTCTCCAAAATTTTGACCATTTCCCAGGAATGCCAAATCATTTTCCATGTTATAAATATCCTCTGAACATCAACTCTATTATATACTTTTGCATCATCAGCAAAAAGACAAACCTTACCTAGCAATCCTTCTATTATTTCACTAACAAACACACTGAACAGAACAGGATCTAGGGCTGAGCTTTATGGTACACCACCTGTGACTGGTCTGTGTTCAGATATTGCCCCGTTAACAATCAGACACTGGGATCTATATTCTTCAGTGGTTCCTATCCACTGAACCACCCAATGGTTAAACCCTAGTCTGTATAACTTTTTATGAGTTCATTATATGGAACTGTATCAAATGCTTTGCTAAAATCCAGATAGGCTACATCCATAACACTATCTTTATCCAAAACATTTGTGACATGGTTAAAAAGTCAATCAGATTAGTTTGACATGACCTTCAATCAGTAAAGCCATGTTGCTTTGTGTTAACTGAGTTGTACATTTTTAAACATTCACAACTTGATGGACTATTGATATATTTGGCTTGGCTACACTCAGATTAAATTTACTAAGACATCAGTAACTGGATTTTCGTACTTGGGAGATGACCAAAAAAATCATTATCAATCCTCCCTGTTTTTAGCCTTGAGAGGACCAAAGACCTGGGACCAAAACTCTGTCCTTTCCCCAAGCATTGGAGTAGGATGGGGGTTGAGCTGGGAGGCTGTTGGGTCTGGCGCCTGGGGGAAAGGTATTTCCATGTTTTTATGAGCTGTTGTTAGTTGACCAGAATCATTATATGTAATAGTCAACCACATAACTCCTGTAAATAACATAATTAAATGCATGCACTATTGGAAGAGCAAAAGAAGGACCTGATTCACAGCAAGGATTTGAATTACCTTTCTAAAAAAAAGTAGAAAAGAACTTTAGTAATTTTTTTTTTTTTTTGAGTTTCTACAGAACTTATTCCCCGACTTTCTTTTTTACTTTCTCCAATCCCCTCCCTCCCTCCCCTTTTTGGTAGATGTTAAATCATATATTACTTATTAACTTTTATTTTGTTAGTGGGAGGGAAGCTTGATTAATTGTTCCATGCAATAAAATATTTTAAAGAAATATTTACAGTGCAGTAAGTCACTGGCAGCTTAATGAAACATGCAAATAAAAATGTCAGGTGCCAAGGTAACCAAAGATTATGTCCTTGAGAAGCATTCCTTTCCACTTCTCTACAAAATATAATTTAGCACCCTGCAATTTTCCTGGTAGTTTTTGTTTTGCTTTTTAAGAGTTTAGGACTTACCAACAGAAGTTCCCCATATCCGAAAACATGTTCATCCCCAATACTTCCTACATTTTTTGGCTTGTACATGAACAGGGCTACACCTGTAACAATCAGTAAGACGCAGAAATATTTGGACAATGGATACTTCTTTCTCAACACTGTCACTCCCAGGAGCATAACTAGAAAAGGAAAAGAAATGTGGGAAAAAGTATACTCTCAATAGTCTTGCTAAGAAATTTAATTAACTAATGACCACCTCATTTTATCTTGCATATTGCAATCATCTGCATAATTTCCCACTGGTCATTCTTAAGAAATCTGAGGAGCTTTTGTTCCTGAACCTGAAGTTGCTAGGCTATCTCACTGCACTCAGGTAAATAGCTGGTACTTGCGGATCTGAACATGAAGTGATCCAGCCGTACTAGCCACATAGTATCCACAGCCATTGCTTACGTTTGTTTCCATTTCCCCCCAATCCCTGCTCTCCCTTTTCCAAATACCAGTAAAGCTATTGTGCTATTTAGAAGCCAATAAATGGGGTTCAATTAATGTGAGCAATGTATCTCAAAAGTTCCCGAGCATACATGATTTTGAGTATAGGATCAGGAATTGCATACCTGGAATGGGTTTACAGGACTTCCCAAGGACCTATGAAAGTAAAAAAAAGAGATTTACTTGACTATCATCTTCTACAACTCTGCACTTGAAGAATGTGAAAAATTCAGGGGGGTGAGGGGAACTAGCTGCTTAAGGCGCAGAAGTTAATCATGTTCTAAATAGAAGCCACACACCTTTATTAGTTGAATATTTTTCTTTTCTTTGTAAAGCCATTACATTCTATGTTCATTTTAAGTCTGTGGTATTTCCTTCTGAAACTCTTTACTCCCACAGCTATTTTTTCTTATTCTTTCCTTTCTTTGCTACCTCTCTACCTTCTACTCAGTCTTCTCTTTTATACAAAGAATCACATTTGGTCACTCTTTTCTCAAACTTCAGCTCCTATAGGCAGTGTGTGTTCTATTGGTATTGGGGCCATAGTAAGTGAACAACTTTACCACTATCTGGAGCTGCTTGATCAACCACTGAGTTGAGGAGTTGAAAACCATGTTCATAAATCAAATCAAACCCTGGTTCCTTTAACAATATTCAATGTTATTTATTGGGGTTCAGCAAAGGAGCGAAAACATTCTCTTCAACAAGACAATTAAATTACTCTGGGTACTGAGAGTGGGAATGAGAGAAAGCTCCTTCTTTGTGCTATAATCTTCTTGCCTGGGAGATTCTCTCCAGATATACCAAAGGAGTTGTCTGGCCTAGGAGACAATTATGCACTCCTAGGGGTCCCACTCACGGTCTGTTATGAACAACCTTTAGGATATCCCACTGGCAGTAGAATTGCCAGGACTGCAAGAAATGGCTAAGGGGAACTCCACCACCAAGCAAAATACATCCTTTTAATATTTTTAAAGCTTTTCTTCTTGGGCTCCCAGGGGAGGTATAATGAAATAAACATATCTCTGACAGAGTGGAGACAAGGATCATGGAAATACCAAAGAACCAGCAAGTTTTTTGGAACCTCTTAAGGATAAAAATATAACCAAAAATAAATGGAAAAAAATCAAGATTTTTATTTAAGAGAGTTATTTATTAACACTTTTTATTATAAGATTTATTTTATTCGTAAAAATTATTGGTCACCACTCTTACCTCAGAGTAATAAGTTAATATTTTGGAAATAATTACATTATTTCTGAGAATTCAAAATTTTTTGTCTAAAGTCAAAACAGAAACTTGAGACTTTATTTCAAGAACTGGATACTAGGGGTGATTAAAGATTTTAGGCAGAAAAGAAAAAAGTATAAATGCCTTTGATTTTTGATTAGCATAAGGATTCACAGACACAAAACTCTGTAACGTTAGAAATATTTCAAGAGATTTTCAAAGAGTGGGGCCAAACATTAGTACCGTATATTCCGGCGTATAAGACGACTTTTGAGAGCGATGAAACAGCCTCTGAACTCGGGGGTCGTCTTATACGCCGAGTCATAACGTTTATTTATTTATTTATTATTTCCGGCGTATAAGATGACGTTCTAGGCATGCGACTCGGTGTCGATCATCTTATCCGCCGGAAATGACGTCATTTCCGGCGTATAAGATGATCGACACCGAGTCGCATGCCTAGAAAGTCATCTTATATAAATAACGTTATAAACTACGTTTATTTCCGGCGTATAAGATGACTTTCTAGGCATGCGACTCAGTGTCGATCATCCCGCCGGAAATGACGTTATTTCCGGCCTATAAGATGATCGACACCGAGTTGCATGCCTAGAAAGTCATCTTATACGCCGGAAATGACGTCATTTCCGGCATATAAGATGATCGACGCCGAGTCGCATGCCTAGAAAGTCGTCTTATATGCGACTCAGCGTCGATCGGCTTGCGACCCGGCGTCGAACTCGGGGGTCGTCTTATACGCCGGGTCGCCTAATACGCCGGCATATACGGTAGCTACAACATCAGAAAAATCAATGATGTCTGTTTTTATGGAGAGACCATATCTGAAAGAAATACTTGAAGTACTACAGAAATACCTGAACCAGAAATACTGGATTTTTTTTTTTTAAAGTATGGTTTATAAAATAGAGGCAGTTAAAGCAGAATTACAGATGACAAGCCAAGAAAATGACCCTGATGAGGACTTTTTACTAGATACACAAAATAAGCTGACTAAAGTTTTGAAAATCAAATTGGAAATACAAAATAAGAGTAGATTACAAGAGAGGAGACAGTGAATGAAATTACAAACTATAAGCCAAGAGACTCCCCCTAATAAGGATTTTTTATTGGATATAGAAAAGAAGATGGTTAAAACTTTGAAAATCAAAATGAAAATACAAATGACAAACCAAAACAATGACCTGGGTATTTTTTTATTTTTTTTTTACTGGATTTAAAAAAAGGTTTGCTCAAACTAGAAGTCTCTGCCATGGGAAAAAGAAAAATTACAGACAGCTAATTCTCTTGCATTTGAATGAATTAAAAATCAAGATTGTTAGGTTAAACTAAAACATCTTCTTATAAAGCTATGGTAACTCTTTGTAGACTTTTTGCCAACACCAGATTGAAAAGTTGGTGATTTCAGGGTTTTTTCTATAGATTAGGGATGGGTTAAAGAAAGAAGGGATAGTTGTTTGTGAACTTATTGAGTGAAGGCTATCAAATTAATTTTTACTTATGATGAATATTGGAAAATTGAAAGTCATTTTTATACATTTCTTTTTTTATATTATATGCTTTCTCTTTATTTTATTTTTCTTTGAAATCCTTGGGGCACTCTTGAGCTAAATTATTTGTTTGAAGATATTTCATTATCCAATTAGATAACATCATCAAGCCTTTCTTTCTTTGTACTTTTTCTTCTATTTCTTCTGCTTTTTCTGAGTTTAGTTTGTATTTACTTTTACTACTGTAATTAAAATCTTTCATAAAAATTATTTTTAAAAAGCTTTTATTCTTGACTTCTGGTTTTGTAAGAATGTTTCTAGTTGTTGTTGCTGTTTTCTAACTGATTACAGTCATATCTCAGTATTCACCTGCTTTGAAATTCATCAAATTTGATACTCAATATATTTTGAGGTGAAAATTTTGTTCTGATACTCATTTTTTTTTTTTTTTGGGTACGCTATGCACCAGCTAGAACTTGTCAGTGTCATCTGCCCCATGAACTCATTCCAGTCAAAACAAAGGGTGACATGTTAGTCACGTGGTTTGTTTGATCGTCCTAGTTTAATACGTTGTGATTTTTTGGTATGAATCGCATCTCTGGAACCAATTAACAATGAGTACCCAGCTACCATTGTATATGATTTAAATTACAGTTATATATTAAGGAATTTTATACCACTCAGATTTGGGAGACTGGAGCATCCTGTATATTCTACAGCTAGGTAAGTAAATCAACCCCTTAGTCTTAAAAATGAAGGGACTTTTTGCTTAGCGAAACAGCTTTGAGGGAATGTAAAATTCTGTTAATAAAGCATCTCTTTAAGTCTTGACAAAACTGTAATCTGAAAACACTGAAATCAAGCCTAGAATTTCTTATTTCTCCTCCCAATACAACCATGGAAGTATAATGCAATTTAATATAAGCAACATGGGAATTAATTACCTGGCTCTTTTCTACACTATTGTATGCCTTTAATACAATTTAATTTAATATGCCTTTAATGTTATAGTACAATAAGTTGCCAAGCTCTTCCCTAGCAAAAAGGAAAAGATATCCCATTTTCTATCTAATTTCCCATCGGCCATCAAGCACCCACACCTACTCTCTGCTCTTTTTTACTCTCTGCTCTTTTTCACCTGAGTTGGGTAGTTGACAAACTGAAGTGCTGAGTTACTGGACACCATTGCTCCTAGATATGAGAGAGAGCAAGCTGCGTAGAGCCAATTCCGAGTCCGGTCCACCTTGACAGCATCAAAAAACTGGATCACTGGTAGGAAAAGTTTATATTAAACACAATATATGTTTAATTTAGGGACAAAAGGTAAAACAGTTTCCTTCCTTCCAAAGGAGAATATTTGCAGCTCAATGTTGAGTTGTGGAGTTTTTGGTATTGCTTGCAGATGTTTCATTAGCCAATGAAATTGATAAGATTATCTATTTGGATAATGAAACACCTGCAAGCAAACAATCAAGCTCAAAGAACACTCCACAATTTTCTTCCTGTTTCCAAGACCTCCTCTCAAAAGGGGAGGCAAGAAGATAATCTGACTACAAAGTACTTTTATGCTGTTTGCCAGATTAGCAACAATCCAACATTCATTCAAATAAAAATGAAATAAAGCCAAAATTAAATTTAAATTTTTGCCTGGCAAGAACTCTTCCAGCCAAGGAGAATACAGGTAGTCCTTGACTCACGACCAATCATTTACGACCATTCAAAGTTACAACAGACCTTCTCAAAAGTTAAGACTGCTACAGCACTACCACTGTCATTCGTCCTTATGACTGACTGCAGAGACTGTCCAGCATGCCCCACTTGCCTATTCACCCCCCCCTCCTGCCCCGTCAAGTCTCCAGAGGCACTGGGCCTACTTTGCTACCCCACTGGATTCCACCTACTCTTCCCTGCCTTGGTCACCAATCTCTCACTTACCTTTTAAAGATCTCCAAAGCTGAGGTGGTCAGAGTAGGGAAGAAGGGCAGGTTGCTCCACTGCTGGGCCACATGGCTGTCTTTTTCCAAGTATAGCTATAAACCGCTCTGACTCAGCAATCCGTGCAGCTGCACAGTGTGATTGGCTTGGAAAATGACAGTTGCTTGTGGGACCCAACTAACAGAGACTTTTGCTTTGCAAAGAGAAGCTAAGCTCTCTGTTTTGCTCCGCTGGCATTAGTCAGATCTTTGGGAGCCAAGTCTTCAGTCACTGGCAAAGACAGCTGCTTCCCCTCTCCACTGTACACTATGCTGAACAGCGCCCAGTGGAGAAGGGAAATGGCACTCTGATCTTTGGAGTCTGAGCTTTAATTCAGTGACAAAGATAGCCATTTCCCCTCCCCATTGTGCGCTATCTAGCACAGTGCAGGGCAGAAAGGGGAGCCAGTTGTTTTTACTGTGAATTAAGGTTTGGATCCCAAAGAGCTCACTAATGCAGAGCAAAATGGACCTCTCCACTTAAGAGAGCTTATTTTTTCTTTGCAAAGCAAATATCCTTATTGCTTGGATCCTATAAGTGGCTGTCATTTTCCAAGCTGGCCCTTCCATGATCAGGCTGTGCAGCCACAAAACTGCTCCATTGTTGGGCTGCATGGGTTGCTGATTCAAAGCAGTTTACAAGTGCACTCAGAAAAAGACTGTCACACATGGATTGTGCCTTGTGGCCTGTCCTTCCCTACCCCGATCTCCTGAGCTTTGGATGTCTGCAAAGGGCAAGTGTGTGATTCTAACAGGGGGAGGGAGAGCAGGAGGCCCACGCAGCTGCTTTCCCCAAGAGTGGGAAAGCCTTGGGAGGTCTGAGGCAGTTGGGTTTGTGCCTATAGTAGGCTCCCAGAGTCTCATGTGCTCACCCAAGAACCCCATGTTCTACCTAATGACCTGCACATTCATTTAACAACTATATTGGGGGAAGGACGCCTGGGCGTTTATTAAGTGAAGCAGTTCATTTAAAGGCTGTCACAACTTCCAACTATAAAGGGCAGACTCCGTTATGGTTGTAACTCGAGGACTACTTGTATTATGTATGCTTTTTTTCTCCTACTATTCTTTAATGTTTTCTTTCCAGAAGTTGTAAATAAATTTGATTTTATGAACAGCCAATAACAAATGAAAGAAAAAGTGGGTGCTCTTCAGACCTACAGAGATTCCTTGTCTTATGACCACAATTTAGACTGGAGCTTCTGTTGCTAAGTGGTGCAACTCATTAAATGAGTTAAACCCAATTTTGCGACCATTTTGACACGGTTGTTAAGTGAATCACTGTGACTGTTAATCAAATTCAATTTTACCTATTCACTTTACTTCTAGGAGGTGGCTGAGAAAATGGTCACTGGACTGGGTATGCTGCAGTTATTGTAAATAGATGCTAGTTGCCAAGGACCCAAATTGCCTCTTCACCATACAAGGATGCTGTGACGGTCATAAGTGCAACAACCAGTCATAAGGCACTTTTTTCAGAACCTAACTTTCAACGGTCATTAAATGAATGATCATAAGTTGAGAACTACCTGTATTACATGCTACACAGCTGTTCTGAATTCAAGTGGGTTGTTTTAGGCTCAGGACATCCTGCAAGGTTAAACAAAAAGCAATAGGAGAACATTTATAGTATAGTAAGACAATTACATTGTGTAGGAAGCAGTTCAACTCAAAATGATTAGCATATCTTTAGTTGTAATATAGTTTTACCCTAATTTCCAACTACAATTAAGTAATTGAGGGCAAATTAAAAGAGTGGCTATGTTTAAACACAAAGGAGGCAATCATATTTATAAACCTGTCTATTGTGGCTACTTTTCAGTTCTATATATCATGGAGATTCATAAAATTGGTTAGTTCAATAACCCTGGGTAAGCATAGCAATGCAATTCTGGTAAAAACTTGGGACACTCAAGAAAATTGCAAGAGGAAGATAGGGAAGATTTCTACACAACCCTCTACCTCCCCATCTGTCTTTCTCTTTTCCAAGGATATACAATATCCACACATGTCGCTGTCAATTGTTATTTTCTATTCATTTTGCCCGCAACAGTGGAAGAAGGGGACAGTAAAAAGTAAAGGAATTTACAAAATATATTTGAGAGGTTTTATTTTTCTCTGATGAAGAATTAAAGTGCAGTATGCTGTAAATGAGAAAATAACTTTGTTTTTTTTCTCCTGCCCAAATATAATTTATTGTGCTGTTTTCATTGGAATGGGAAATATAGGAGACATAGCACATGTAAATTATTTTTCATTTTAGCAAAATATAGAAGAAAGTAGTATATAGCTGTTTTTTATGTAGCTTCTCTTTAAAAGTACATAAGCAACAGTATGCTTCTCTTTATATTTACCCACACCTCCATCCATTAGGCTAATCATCAATGGATTTTAATAGACATGGCTAGAGAAGAGGGCCTTTCCTAAATATACAATAGGAAGAAGGGGAAATAAATGCATTTCCCAAAAATGTAATCCTTCGTATGATTCTCCCATTCTTCTCTTTCTAAGAAGAACCAGCAGAGAACAATGAGTATTGGCCACAACAAGCAGCAGAAAAGGGAGGCTGAAGTTTATGCATGGGTTTGAAATAGTGAGTCTAGTTAAGTCACAGGCAACAGTGTCCTCTGGTGAGAAGAGGACGGTTCTCAAAAAAAAAAAAAAAAAAAAAAAAAAACAATACAAAATAGTGTTATGATGTAAGTTGTGCCCACCATCTTGGTTTCGCTCCCCCAACAGATTTCACTGATCATAGCACATTCTTTCCATACACAAAAAAGGAAAAAAAAAGAAGAAGAAAAAAGATAAAAAAAGATGGTATTTTGGATTTGGAGTTTTATAACAGCTTCCAGAATCAAGAGAATGCAAAACAGATTGTTTGCTGCTTTTTTGGGATGTACTTACTCAGCTTAGCGAAAATGGCATTTATCGCACACTGAATAAAGACTAAAGACAAAGCATATCTGAATTTCTCCTGCTTTGCTCCTTCCCCATATTTGCCTCTTGTACTGTGGGGGGAAAAACACGTAGGAAGAAGAATCAGTTGCCAAAGATGCAATACATATCAAGGCACCCATACTACTTTCATGTATGGATTCAAAATTTACAAGATCCAGAGAACATTTGTTCCTCCCCCATCCAGGTGTTCCACCAATGAATAAAAGGCAATTACCATCTTTTCTCTAGAAATTACATTCACTAAAAGGAAATTACTCAGCACTAAGCAAATGCTCTAGTTGGACAACCTTTCACGAATATGCAAATTGTTGATTTTATTATATTGATGGGGTCTTCCCAGCAGGACCACTAGATAGCAGCTTACTAACAAAAGAAATATAACATCAGATATCGCCTGTTTAAGGTGGAGGAGGAAATGAAATGATTTAAGATCAGAAAGAGAACCATATAGAATCAAGCCTCCTACAAATAAACTAGAAAAATCGAAGAATTTATGTTACATTTTCCAGAGCATCTTGAAAATTGCACTTTTTTAAATACCATGAAGTTGTAACTTTCTATATTTTTAAAGTAAACATTTTTTTAAAAAACTGACTTGAGGTAAACCCAATGTGAATAAAATGGAATTAAGTTCACTGAATTCAAACATACTTAGAATTACTTTTTTTTTGTTAGAACAGTGAAATTCTATGTGAAGTATGACCAACCATGTTCAAGAACTATAGCTTAAAGCTATATTACAGATTATCCATCATTCTGTATTTTAAATCATTAACCTTAATCATTTTATTTATCAATTAAATCTCTGCATGTAATACATAAATAAAATTAGGGTTCTGTTTTTAAAGAAAAAACTAACTGGAAAATGCTCCGCAGTAAAATAATGGAAAAATACTGCACTAAACTCAGAAAGAAATACGAGAATATAACCAAGCCAAAACTCCTTCCTTAGTTTGAACTGGGCATCTGTAAACTCTAATAGATAGCTTAAAATCTCAATGAGGCATTAATACACATATACTGCCAATTCCAATTTGTAGGGGAATTTCTGTGCTTTTAATAACCATGAAATTGGCTCAATTTGTATAACTATGTTTTCTCCACTATCCATCCATAAGCATTAGTAAAGCATAGTCATCTATAGGATTTCTAACTGCTGCACAACTATTACATTTGTACTATAGATTTGTCCATGGGGTCGCGATGGGTCGGACACGACTTAGCAATTAACAACATAGATTAATTAGACTAGATCGATTGAATCAATTGATATAAATCTAGACAGATCGTATCTGAACCTGGAGGTGGTTATCTGGGGTCACAATAACCAAGTGTTCTTTTAAGCATATATAAGGTGCTTAGACGGAGTGATCAAAGGGACAATATCTTTAGGAACGACAGCAATTGGGAAGGAAGTTTCTCACAGGGTGTAGTGAAATTTCCGCCAGCCAGAACCAAAAGCATCTCAGCCAACCCTGCAAAAAAGAAAGCGTTCTCCTCAAGCGACTTACATTGTCTCCTGCAGGACGCCGTACCAGAAGTAACACACGAAGACACCCAGACAGCAGATAGGCAATCGTAGCCGCTCGGAGAGAAACGAAATCCCTCCAACTCCTGATCCCCCAGACGCCCCCATCCCCGACAAAGCAGTAGTTTCGTGTCCAGATACTCTCAGTGGTGATAGCTCCACGCACTCATCCCGTACCGGCAACAACGGTGGCGGAAAAGAGGGCCTCATAGAGGCGGCTGCGCCGTCGACTGAAAAGGACCTTTTCAACTCCACGCGGAGGTATCTAATATACTGCCTGACAAGCCTAATGCAGCTGAAGAGAAACTGCCAGGCGAAAAAAATATTTCGGCATCTCTTTTTTTTCTTTTTCCCGTGCAGTACTATATCTTCATTTGCTTTTCCGTGCTGGAAATTAGCCTCTAGACGCCACGGCGTTATATAGGGGCTTAGAAGGAGAGGGCGACCGTTTTAGACGTCATCAAACACGTCTGCCGTAATTACCCGGCCGAGTCAAACTTCGTGTCACGTTTTCATTGCTGGTGCGAAGAGGTTGGAATGACGTTCCTGAGAGCAACGGTTATTGGGGGCCGGGGGATGAAATAAAGATGGCAACGAAGCTGCCTGAAGGACGTTCGCTTTGTTGCGCTAGCAAATTGCTTCCGGTGTAGCAGACTTTATTTGCTCACGGTTGATCATGGGATTGATTTTATTTACATGTTTACTTACTTCCTTATTTATTTATTTAATTTATTTAATGAACAGCCCATCTCCTTTAAAGAGGCATTGTGGGTGGTGCACAATAAAATGTGAAAGTATAACTTCAAAAAAATTTTAGAGGAAGAGAAGAATAAATATGCTCTGTTAAAAATCATTTGAAAAGTCGAAGGGAGGGCTCTTGGGATACTAGCCAACCCCACGGCTGTGTGAACTTTTAGGCTTCCCATAAGAGGCTGAGTCATGTTTAATTCATATTCAGAAGGCCAAGAGACTGGGGCCTGCCTCACCCCCGGAGAGGAGTGTATTCCACAGGTTGAGGGCAATGGCAGAGTTAAAAAATTCTGACTGATGAGGTCGGCAGCACACCTTACCTGCCTTACTGGTAATGGGACGAAAGCGGTTCTCTTGATAGCTTGGCCCTATGCCATGTGGGGCTTTATATATCACAATTCCTTGAATTGGACCCAGAAACAAATTGATATCCAGTTCAACTCGTGGAGTGGAGGTGTTACATGTGCCCTCTGGGCATTCAGTGTAACTCACGTGGTTACATTTTCACCAGCTGAAGTGTCTGGATACCTTTCTAGAATAGGCCCATATAGATTGCATTTCAATACTGCGAACGGGAAATGAGTAGGGCATGAGTGACTGAGCAGAAAACCTCCCTATCCAGAAAAGAATGTAACCTGCATACAACATAAGAGTCTAGCAAAGGCTCTCCTAACAATGGCTGCCACCTGCTCTTCAAACAAGAGCTATGACTTCAAGGGAAACCCCAGCTTGTACACTGAGCTTGTTTGGAGTAGTGCAACCCCATCCAAGACCAAATATGGTTAGGTCCTGGATGCAGAGGGCCCCACCACAGCCAGATCTTACCAGGGTTCAGGGAAACTTTCCTTTAATTCATTAATTCTTGCTGTGCTTTAAGTGTCAATGAAATCAGGTTCTCCTTGACTTTGGGTACCTTTTTTATATTGCAAACTACTCCATCCTCCTGTAGAGCAGTGTTTCTCAATTTTGGCAACTTTTAAGATATGTGGACTTCAATTGCCAAAATTCTCTAGTCAGCTACACATCTTAAAATTACAGAAGTTGAGAAACACTGCCCTGAACTTCTTGTGCAAGCTTCTTTGTTTCTCATAGGGTTTAATTATCAGACAGCTTGATATCTCAATTACTATGTCCAGCCAAAGTTGGACATCATACAACGGACACATCCAATGCAGAACTCAACTGTTGTGACCTGGACTAATTGCTTTGATTCTGCAGCTGAGATTGCATTGGATATTTTAGCTGCTATGCCACATTGATTGCTTATGTTTTAATTGGTGATTCAATGGCACTCTTAGTTCCTTCTCATATGCATTATCACCAAACTAAGTCTCTTTAAATCTGTACCATAACATTGATCTTCCTACCTGGATGTAAGCTATTACATTTATCAAAGATGATGTTCACCCTCATAGATTTTATGCATTGTTCAAGTCTTATTTTGAATTGTGATTTTGACCTTTTCGCTTTAGGCCTCTGTGTACAAAAAAAAAAAAAAAAGGTTCAATCAATCTGTCAATTTCAACTTTTCACAGAAAAAAAAAATCTTGCAAAGTTGGAATTGATTGAACTTTTTAGTCCCACCCAGTCTGCTGTTACCACCGCAGCTACGCCCACCCAATGGGCCACACACACCCAATGGGCCACACACACCCAATGGGCCACACACACACGGCACCTGACGACGCATAAGTGGGTTTTGGTTTGTAGTTCGGTCGCTAAAAGGTTCGCCATCACTGACATAGACAATGCTGCTTGACAAGTGATCAGGGTGCTTTCAGACTAACTGAATTTTAGTTTTCTGTTTCTCTATAGAAGGGGCGTTGTCTTACCTGAACGCCTTTTCTCAGCATGAAGATGTAGCATCCACCGATTGGGTAATCAAAGCCCTCCTACTCAGATTTAGACTAAGACCAAACTTTAGCCACGCCTCCCTTGGGCGCTCCTTTCCCAGTTTTGTCGAGGCGAAGCATTCATTAGGTCTGACACAGTTGCTCCTCCTGAAAAAAATCTGCCTAGACTAAGTGTTAAGGGTGGGTGTGGATGCTACATCTTCATGCTGAGAAAAGGCGTTCAGGTAAGACAACGCCCCTTCTCCAGCATGATAGATGTAGCATCCACCGATTGGGACATACCAAAGCCACCTGTGTCCCTGTCGGGAGGGAAGTCTAGGCTTGTGGCTCATGCGTAGAGACTACCTGCTGCAGAACCCTTCTGCCGAAGGATGCGTCTGAGGCAGCGAATTTATCAAGCTTGTAATGCCTTATAAATGAAGAGGGGGAAGCCCAGGTGGCTGCCCTGCAAATTTCCTCAATCGAGGCCTGAGTGGACCAGGCCGCAGATGTAGCAGCGCTACGTGTAGAATGAGCAGTGATGTGAGGAGGAACAGGAAGAGACTGAGTCCTGTAAGCGTGAGAGATGCAGGCCCTAATCCATCTACCAATGGTCGAGGATGATACTTTCAGACCCATGGAAGAAGGTTGGAAAGACACAAACAAGGCCTCCGATCTACGAAATGCAGCGGTTCGCTTCACATAGTGATGCAAAGCCCTGCGTACGTCTAATGTATGCCACAATCTTTCAAGACGGTGAGAAGGTCGCGGACAAAAGTCCGGAAGAATCAGATCTTGATACCTGTGGAAGCTAGTATTGACTTTCGGAATGAAAGAAGGGTCCAATTTTAGGATCACTCTGTCATCCAGAAAAACACAAAGATCCTCCCTGATCGAGAGTGCAGCAAGTTCCGAGATGCGTCTTGCTGAGGTGATGGCTATCAAAAAGGCTACTTTCAATGAAAGGAAGTGTAGTGAACAAGATCTGATGGGTTCAAATGGTGAACTGGTAAGAACCTGCAGAACCCTTGGCAGGTCCCATGTGGGATATCTGTGTACTACAGGGGGACCTGTATTAACGGCTCCCTTAAGGAAGGCCGTAACAGCTGGATGATGAGATAGCTGTATCTGATCCTCGCAAATGAGGACCGTGGATAATGCTGCGATCTGCCTATGGATGGTATTGTGAGACAGTCCCCTGTTTAGTCCGTCTAAAAGGTAGTCCAATAATATCGGAATGGTGGTAGCCAGTGGGTTGACCCTCCTGGTGTTACACCATGCACAGAAACTTTTCCACGTGGCATCGTAGATTCTGTTAGTGGAGGGACGTCTGGAGGCTTGAATTATAGCAATCACTCCAGTCGAATAGGACTGTCTAATTAAGCTCTCCCTTTCAAGTGCCAAGCGGCTAGTTGAAGCCACTGCGGGTCCAGATGTTGGAGCTGACCCTGACTGAGGGAGATGCGATCTGCTGGAATCTTCCAAGGTGGGGAGATCGATAGGTCCACGAGATCTGCAAACCAAGGACGCCTTGGCCAATGTGGGACCAGCAAGATTAATTCTGCCCCCTCTAATAGGAGTTTCCTGATGACAGCTGGAATCAGGGGAAGTGGAGGGAAGGCATACAGAAGTCCCTTGGGCCATCTGCTGCGTAGCGCGTCCGTTCCCTCTGCTCCCCATGACGGAAACCGCGTGAAATACCTGGGAAGCTGAGCATTTGCTGGCGAAGCAAACAGGTCTACCTGAGGCTGCCCGAACCTCTCCGATATTTCCCTGAAGAGGTTCGGTTCCAATCGCCACTCCGAGTGGTCTATCGTCGCCCTGCTTAGAGAATCTGCCTGACGATTCTCCTCCCCGGAAATGTGTTCTGCTCTGATGGATTTCAGATGGGATTCTGCCCACAGACCCAATGCTAGGGCCTCCTGCATGAGGGACCAAGATTTGGTCCCTCCCTGTCTGTTGATATGAGCCTTGGCTGCGACATTGTCCGTCATTACCAGGACATGATTCCCCTTCACTATGTTGGAGAACTGGCAAAGAGCCAGGTGTATTGCCCTGAGTTCTAGCCAATTTATATTGTGCGTGAGGTCGTGCTTGGACCATTGACCCTGAGCCATATGTGTCTGCATGTGCGCTCCCCAACCGAACAGACTGACGTCCGTGGTCAGGATAAGTCTGTGAGGCTCCTTGAAGAATGTCCCCTTGTGTATGGCTGGTGACCCCCACCATCTGAGTGACTGTAGAGTGTGGTACGGAACTCTCACCTTCCGTGTGGAGGCACTCATGCTCCGCTTCTGGAAGGGAAGCAGGAACCATTGTAGATGTCTGGAATGAAGACTGGCCCACGGCACTATTCCTAGGCAAGAAATCATCTTCCCCAACAGCTGTGACAACTGGACAAGGGGAACTACCTTCTCTCTCTGGATCCTGCGAATTAAGGATCTGATACCGTCCCTGCGTTCCTGGGAGAGGTAGACCTTGCATAGGTCTGAATCTATCACCTCCCCTAGATGCAAGATCCGAGTGATAGGGGTGGTGTGGCTCTTCTTGAAATTTACTGAGAAGCCGTGTCTCTGAAGTGTCTCTATTGTAGTCTGTAGATCTAGTTGAGCAGTGTGGAATGAACTGGGCTGAATGATTATATCGTCCAGGTAACATTGTACTCTTACCGGTATTAATCTGAGATGTGCTGCCAATACTGCCAGTATCTTTGTGAATACCCGTGGTGCCGAGGATAGACCGAAGGGAAGTGCCCTGTACTGATAATGTCTGTTTGCATGGCAGAAACGGAGGAATCTGCGGTGATGTGGTCTGATAGGAACATGAAGGTAGGCTTCTGTCAGGTCTATGGAGGAGAGGTAATCTCCCTTCCTGACACTTGCTAGAATGGACTTGAGGGACTGCATTTTGAACTTCCTGTAGATTAGGAAGCTGTTGAGTCCCTTTAGATCTAATATCGCTCTCCATCCCCCTGAGGGCTTGGGAACCACGAAGAGAATGGAGTAGAACCCTTTTCCTTTTTGTTCCGGAGGAACTGATTCTATGGCTCTTATTTCTAATAAGTGTGATATTGCTGTGTCCACTAGTTCGGCCTTGTGTGGGTGTCTTGAGGCGGGGCACTGAAGGAAATGGTCTGGTGGTATGGACTTTAGTTCTAGGGCTAGACCGAATCTTATGGTCTCTCTCACCCAGGTATCGTTTGTGGTGACCTCCCAAGTGTCGCTGAACAGGGTTAAGCGTCCACCTATGGGAGGGTCCAATCTGGCGTCACTTAGACCTTCGGAATGGACGGCCTCCCGCCCCCCTGAAGGGATGCTTGGTCTGGAACTGACCCCTGGCTCCTGAATTCTGGCGGTCCTGTTGGCGATCCTGTCTGGGGGAGAAGGATCGGGAACCTCTGGGCCAATCCCAGGACTGCCCTGATCGAAAGGGCTGCCTCCATCCCCAAGAACTTCCGGCCCTGAAGGACTGCCTGAGAAATTCTTGTTGAGGTCTCCTATCCGTCTTCTTGGACGGATGAGCTAAGGTTTTTCTCTTATCCTTCCCTTCAACCAGGTACGGCTCTAGGATTTGGCCAAATAAATTCTTGCCACTGTAGGTGTCTGTAGCAAGACGCCATCTTGACTTTAGGTCAGCCCTCCACTGTTTGAGCCACATGAATCTTCGGGATGCAACTGTGGCTGCAATAGATCTGGCCGAAAATTTGGTGGAGTTGAGGGAAGCATCTGACATGTATTCCGCCGCTGTTACTAGTTTACCTAGAGTATGATGTGCGCGTACCTGGTCTGGAGGAATTAATGCCTGTAGTTCCCGGAGCCACATGATAGAAGTTCTCGTGAAAAAGGACGAGGACGAAGACGCCCTGATGGCCCAGGCAGAGGCCTGGTGAGCCCTGCGGAGAGAAAACTCAAAACGTTTATCTTCCGCCTTGAGATGTTCGGCCATGTCTCCAGGAACAGTGGATGTGGAGAACAAAGATGTTAATGGAGCGTCCACTGTGGGAACCTCTAGAAGGGAAGAGAATGCAGAAGATACATTATACAATCTCTTTTCTGTGCTGTTAGGAGAGGGTAGGGTGGCCAGTGAGGTCCACTCTTTTTCCACCGTCTCGTGGAAAACAGCTGGACAAGGAACTTGTTTTTCCTCTACCACCTTTCTAACAAACAAAGGGTTTGACTCTTGTGCAGCCGAGGTAGATGGCTTGGGTTCCTGCTCCGAGACCAGGTTGGCTGTTGTGCAGGCTTTTAACAAAAGAGATTTGAATAGGTTTGGATCAAAAAGCCCCGATGTTGGGGTTGGATCCTAATTTACCTCCTCATCCTCAGACATAGGTCCTTCAGTTGTCACCAGGTCAACAGATTCAGTCTCCCCAAACTGAGATGAAGTCTCAGAAATACCTGAACCCGCTGACTGGGGACGTCCAGTGCGGTCTGGGGGCAAGGGTGGGACCAGCTGCTAAGGAAGAAGACATGAATTGATTGAAGGCCTGGTGCATAAAGCTCTGAAACTGTTGAGCCCATAAAGATCGCTCAGCTGAAGGCACACCAGCAGTGGTGGTCTCAGGAGTATGCATACTAATGTTAGCAGGAGAAATGGAAGGCCCTGGCAGAGGGGATATAGGGATATGTTGTCTAGGGGCAGATAGACTGACCTGTTCAGTTCCCCCTTGAGGAGACCCTGCCCTGGGGGCTTGATAAGATGGCACCAGTGAGGGCTCATAAGGTGAGCTGGCCAGAGAAGCAGGGGGAACCAATTCAGCTTCTCTGGACCTGAGCCTTTGTGCTTTGGAGAACTCTTGCTCCAGTGCCTGGTGTCTCCTCGAGGCCTCTCGCTCAGCAGTCTTGGAGGGTTCTTTGGTTGATAAATGCTTGTTTTAGCTTTTTTCTTCCCCCCTGTATTTGAATCAGAGGATCTGCATTTTGCTTGAATGCAAAGCCTGAGGAGACTCATCATCTGCCATTGTGCCCAGGCTTTCCAGGTAGGAGAAGCCCTGGGGTGGGGGTAACTACGCAGATCAAGTTATCCGGGAGGGAAGCTTCCCACGCCCTAAGACAACCACAATGGCAAACAGCCAGAACAGCTGTCTAAAACTGTCTGCTGGGCCCTGCCGGCACAGCGCCGGGAGCTAAACAGAACAGGTCAGGAACCCTACAATTTAAGATAATAGGTGTTATTATTGTTATTATTATTTTTATTTTATTTTATCTTATTTTATTTTACTTTTGTAATCAATCTCTGAGAAGCAATGCGTCGAAAAAACAACAGCTAAACCCCCAAGAGGACCCAACGCAGTGAGTCACTAATGCTAGGCCTGAATTGGAGGCAAAAGCAACCTTAAAATGGCGACCACGCCCAGCACCAAATTCAAAATGGCGGCCGCAGGTCTTCTTTGTGCTTAAAAATGGCCTCTCCTCTTAGTCAGAGCTGTAAGACAGCTTCTCCAGCCTCGTCTTTGAAGTCCCCATTCAGGCAGGCAAAAAGACGGAGGGAACCTTACACACACTTCCCCCCTTACAGCTATAAGGCACCACAAACTACTTGTGATTCTGCAGCCTGGGGGAGTCTCTGTGCGATCCTGGATAGAGCCTCCTGGCCACGAGGCAAGAGAGAAGCTCTGGTAATAGGCTGAATTCTCCAGAAACACTGGCAATAAAAATTGTTATCACACACAAGGGAAGCCTCCCTCAGTGTGCTGAACAGATACTCTGAGCTGAAAACTGCCTCAGCGGCAAAGCTCCGACGATCCACGAGGCCAATTAGGCCCTCTGAAAAGCAACTCTCCAAGGTTGCTAATTCACTGTCCTTTACTAAAAAAACAAAAATTATGTAAAGAGTACACTACAGGAAGCTATATTAACAATCCTAATGCTACACTATTTAAACTAACAATTGCTGAGGAGCTAACAAAACTGTGTCCTCTCTGAGCATAGACTAAGACAAAACTGGGAAAGGAGCGCCCAAGGGAGGCGTGGCTAAAGTTTGGTCTTAGTCTAAATCTGAGTAGGAGGGCTTTGATTACCCAATCGGTGGATGCTACATCTATCATGCTGGAGAAAGATCTCTTTCTTTTTTGAGAGAAGACTGATGCAAAGATGGAATTTTAACTTCTCCATATTGAACATTATTTCCCAATCTTCTCTGTATGAAATAATTCAAACTCTCCTTTCATCCCTTTGAAGTATTTTTGTTTTGTCCTCACAACTCACTTCATTCTGAGCTTTAGCTTTGCTGCATTACTGCAAGCTTGAGATATTAGAATATATTCTTTGCAAACCTTTTTGTTTCTCAAACTGCCAATTGAGGTTGCTATTCATCCACATAGCTGCCTTAAAACTTTAAGTCCTAATGGGGATTGTTCAAGTTTGTGCATACATTTTTCAGGGTCTCCCATTCCTCTTTAACTTATTTAATTACGATTTTAAGACAGAATATTTGTCTACCTTTTTAAAATCTGCTTTCCTGGTGTCCAAGATACACGAATGACTTCTCAGCAGTTAAACTAGTTGTAGGTAACTTGAACCCCATCATAATTTTTTCCAAAACTTTTTTGGGCCACCTCTTAATTCCTGTTAGATAGCTAGCCCCCTTGTTTCTTATTTCTTCATCTGAAAACTACGATTCTCAGCAAAGTAGATAATAAACTTACATATTTTTGGTTAAGATAGTTTTCTACCAAAGAGGAGTTATTACCACTGTAACATGATAAGTTAATTTACAAAGACATTGTTCACCTTATCTACTGGGTAAAAAAGCAGGCTGTTCTAGTGGCTAAAGTATCGGGTGATGTGGAGATCCATCTTAGTCATGAAAGCCACCTGGGTGGCTTTGGGCCTGTCCTTCTCTCTCAGCCCAACTCACCTCAAAGGGTTGCCATTGTACGGAAAATAAGAGGAGCAGGGAGTATTATGTTCACTCCCTTATTTGTAAAAATAATAAAGGCAGGGTTTAAAAACGTAATTTATGTAAATAAATAGCCTATAAGAAATTCCTACAATGGAGTATTCCTTTTATTTATCTCTCCTTTTAATTTTACCCAGATACTTTCAACAGGATATTGAGGGACTTGGATTTCTTCATAGACATAACAGCTTTAAAAAAAAAACCTAAAAGCCATTCCATCTTTTTGTTCTACTTCTTTTGTATAAATAATATATTATAAATATGTTCCACTCATGATTCTCATCCTATTAAGTTTCTATGAGACTTATCAAATCTTGTTTATTCAAGTTAGGCTTTCTTCTGTTTGTTACCCATGCATTAGGGAACAGAGTACCATTCTTACTTGCAAATCCTTTGGAGTTCTTAAAACAAAATGGTTGGGGGCAACCAAAAGTCTAGTCCGGTGTGCAGTGCCTTTTTTCTTAAAAAACAAAAGCGCTGGAACTTACACACATCATACAACCCGCCTTGCCTACCCTACAAGGTTCCATCCAAAAAAGGTGCCGGAACTCCGTTCTGGGCATTCTATGAGAAAAAAAGCCCTGCCAGTGTGTATGTGTGTGTATGTGTATTAAGTTACAATGATGGCATATTGCAGGGGCTATAGAACCAGTAAGTAAAACCACACCAATTTATCTTCTGATAATTGGATGTTTTATGACTGGCATGCTTATTATGGCAACCAGTATGAATATACAGACATTTTCTGAATGTAACCCCAAATATTCTCAAAAGTTTAAATGTTACCAGTGGCTACATGAAAAAAGTAATTATTTAAGTAGTATCTGGGATATGGATAAATAATATATCATCACTCAATCCATCAGTCAGTTCTTATTCAGTTTTGGTAGTGCAATGCAAACTTATAAGGCTATAAAGAATACAACTGTAAATATGAAAATCAATCCAAGCTATTTTGGACCATTACTTTCTCCTTTTTTTAACACAATGCGGTATAAACATATTTGATACTCAACATTTTTATCATTCTTTTAATTGGTTTGAACACCAAAAATCTGCAAAAACCTTTCAACTCAAGATGCAATGAAGCTCTGAGACAGATTGTTTCATGAAGCTTTTCATGGTGCATACAGTACATTAACATTTACAAAAACTTTAAAAGTAGCTGCAAAAATACTGTCTTCAAAAGAAAATATAGTTTTCTCTCAATTTCATAAAACCCTCCTAGTACAATCCATAAATGTAACAACAAAATATGACTTCCAAATACACTTTGCAATCAAGGCATCACTAGGTTTAAGGCTTTCCATTGAAGGGGTTGATAGAGGTATAGGACAAAGACGTAAGTGAACATAGGATCTTTGGAATCTTCTTAAAATAAAGCTGAGCTGATTTTCCAATTCATGGTCTAGAAGAGTTGTAGTGTCAAGATGCACTGAGGAGTCCAATTTATTATAATAAAGGAAAATAGCATATGTTAATTCCATTGGCAGCTGCATCCCTCGAGAATGGCTTGGGCTTCAATCTCATTATGCAAAGTTCTTTGAAAAAAATAATTTCAGGAGGTCCATCTGGAAAAAGTGCAACTAGGACATTCCTCCTTTGCTCTTTCTTCTAATGAAGGGACTCAAAATCTTTATCTCTAAGACACACCTTGAATAATTTACTTAGTCAATTATCTGGTGTGGTACAATCATTAAGAAAGAAAATACTTCAAAGCATTTAGCTGATTGTATTCCAGTGATGTGAGTGCCATACAGTGCAGGGCAGGATATGAAAAGAATCTTAATGGTATTGCAGAGTTGAGATTCCATAAACCACAACTCTGCTCAATTTTTATCCAATGACATCAACTGTTCAATCAGCATATGTAAGTTCTGGCATCTTATATTCATTGTACACTCTATTCTGTTGGAACCTTGAGAAACATCTCTAGGAACATTTAAACACCATCAATGAGCTCCTGCCTCACACAGCAAGCAGAGAGAAAGACAATCCTTGTAATTGCCTAGGCATTCCAAATGAGAAGATTAGGTGCTCTTTGGATACCAGAGTCGCAAAAAGATATTGACAGAGATGCTTAAGGAAAGAAAGTGCTCCTTGAAAGGAGTCCAATAGCAATCTTTACTTTAAGGCTGTTGCTGGGATCACTCTGATTCCCAGTATCAAGGCACTTTTTTCTACAGGCCTTGGAAGGACCATACATTTATTTTGCCTCTACTCCACTCCCTGTGCTTCAGACAACCACGGAACTATGAAACAGGGCAGTGTCTTCAGGTTGGTGCCGTTTCCAGGACTCCAAGCCTAATGAAGGAGATTTTGGGTTTTCACTGAAGTCTCCCCTTAAGTCTTTCTGTAAAGCGAGGATGGGGACAGTGGTAGTGACTTGGCAAGAAGAAAATGTGCCTGAGGACTTTGGGCTGGGAGAGGAAGAGAAGTCTCTGTACAGGATGTTTACTTTGGGAATAAGAGACTTCACCAGACTAAACTGGCAAAAAGCAGAGCCCGTTGGATTGAAGTAGACTTTGTTCTTATCAGGAGAAGAAGGCAGGACAGGCAGATCAGACCTAAAAAGAAAAATCAGAATTAAAAAGTATATAAGAACTAATGCTAACAAATATTTCAGATTTTGATAGGTTATAGGATGACAGTACAACAAATAAGACATTTAAAAAAATATGCATAGACTGTTGCGTCTTTCAGAATTTTGCACTTTACAGCAAAAATGGGGGAGATGCTCACCTAGAGTCTGCTGTAACAGACATGGTGTTTGGTACAACAAACATTACCGGATTTAGACGTTTTCAGTTTACAAAGTACAAATTCTTTATTATAGTGTCATAAAACCATTAATGTGCATAGCACTCCATCCAAGAGACACAGTGATTACCAAAAAAGAAATACAATGCAAGTATTGAAGTATTTAAGAATTACTTTTCAACTCTAAATGTTATCCATCCCATAGAATCACTGAACTGCTTTGGCAATGAAACAAAAATAGATGGGTTATATGCATACATCTGAAGCTCTAATCTTGTTTCAGAATAAATTCAGTTCATACCACTGGGCTAAATTATATTTTGTTGGTGGGCTAGAACAGAAAAGATTTTTAGGTGACTTTTTAAGAAAACAACTATATTAGAAGTCTGATTACACATATATTTTGTTTTTATTATTACTCGCTATGCACTTGAAATATGTAGCATTTGTTGTTGTTGTTAATTGCGAAGTCGTGTCTGACCCATCGCGACCCCATGGACAACGTTCCTCCAGGTCTTCCTGTCCTCTACCATCTTCTGGAGTCCATTTAAATTCACACCTACTGCTTCAGTGACTCCATCCAGCCATCTCATTCTCTGTCGTCCCCTTCTTCTATTGCCCTCAATCTTTCCCAGCATTAGGCCCTTCTCCAGTGAGTCCTTCCTTCTCATTAGGTGGCCAAAGTATTTGAGTTTCAACTTCAGGATCTGGCCTTCTAAAGAGCAGTCGGGGTTGATCTCTTCTAGGACTGACCGGTTTGAACGCCTTGCAGTCCAAGGGACTCGCAGGAGTCTTCTCCAGCACCATAGTTCAAAGGCCTCAATTCTTTTGCGCTCAGCCTTTCTTATGGTCCAACTTTCACAGCCATACATTGCAACTGGGAAAACCATGGCCTGGACTATACGCACTTTTGTTGGCAGGGTGATGTCTCTGCTTTTTAGAATGCTGTCTAGATTTGCCATAGCTTTCCTCCCCAGGAGCAAGCGTCTTTTAATTTCTTGGCTGCAGTCCCCATCTGAGGTGATCTTGGAGCCCAGAAAAATAAAATCTGTCACTACCTCCATTTCTTCCCCATCTATTTGCCAGGAATTGAGAGGGCCGGATGCCATGATTTTGGTTTTCTTAATGTTGAGTTTCAAGCCAACTTTTGCACTCTCCTTCTTCACCCGCATCAAGAGGCTCTTTAGTTCCTCTTCACTTTCTGCCATTAGAGTGGTATCATCTGCATATCTTAGGTTGTTGATATTTCTCCCGGCAATCTTAATTCCAACTTTTGTTTCATCTAGCCCTGCCTTTCTCATGATGTGCTCTCCATATAAGTTAAATAGGCAGGGCGACAGTATACAGCCTTGTCGGACTCCTTTTCCAATTTTGAACCAATCAGTGGTTCCGTGTCCGGTTCTCACTGTTGCTTCTTGACCCGCATATAGGTATCTCAAGAGACAAATAAGATGGTCTGGTATTCCCATCTCTTTAAGAACTTGCCACAATTTGTTGTGATCCACACAATCAAAGGCTTTAGCATAGTCAATGAAGCAGAAGTAGATGTTTTTCTGGAACTCCCTAGCTTTCTCCATGATCCAGCATATGTTGGCAATTTGATCTCTAGTTCCTCTGCCTCTTCGAAATCCTGCCTGTACTTCTGGTAGTTCTCGATCCACATACGCTGGAGTCTAGTGTGTAGGATTTTAAACATAACTTTACTAGCATGTGAAATGAGTGCAAAGGTGCGATAGTTTGAACTTTCTTTGGCATTGCCTTTCTGTGGAATTGGAATGTAAACTGACCTTTTCCAATCCTGTGACCACTATTGAGTTTTCCAAATTTGCTGGCAAATTGAGTGTAGCACTTTTACTGCATCGTCTTTTAAGATTTTGAATAGCTCAGCTGGAATACTGTCACCTCCACTAGCTTTGTTGTTGCTCAGATTTTCTAAGGCCCATTTCACTTCACATTCTAGGATGTCTGGTTCGAGGTCAGTGACCATCTCATTGTGGTTATCTGGGATGTTAAGCTCATTCTTGTATAGTTCTTCTGTGTAGTTTTGCCATCTCTTCTTAATCTCTTCTGCCTCTGTTAGGTCTCTGCCATTTTGGTCCTTTATCATGACCATCTTTGCATGAAACGTTCCCTTCATATCTCCAATTTTCTTGAAGAGATCTCTGGTCCTCCCTATTCTGTTGTTTTCTTCTATTTCTTTGCACTGTTCATTTAAGAAGGCATTCTTATCTCTTCTAGCTACTCTCTGGAATTCTGCATTCAATTGGGTGTATCTTTCTCTTTTCCTTTGCCTTTCGCTTCCCTTCTTTCCTCAGCTATTTGCAAAGCTTCCTCAGACAGCCATTTTGCTTTCTTGCATTTCTTTTTCTTTGGGATGGTTTTAGTTGCTACCTCTTGTACAATGTTGTGAACTTCCATCCATAGTTCTTCAGGCACTCTGTCTATCAGATCTAATTCCTTAAATCTATTTGTCACCTCTACTGTATATTCATCAGGGATATGATTTAGTTCATACCTGAGTGGCCTAGTGCTTTTCCCTACTTTTTTCAATTTAAGCCTAAATTTTGCAACGAGAAGCTCATGATCTGAGCCACAGTCAGCTCCTGGTCTTGTTTTTACTGACTGTATAGAGCTTCTCCATCTTTGGCTGCAGAGCACATAGTCAATCTGATTTCTATGTTGACCGTCTGGTGATGTCCATGTGTAGAGCCGTCTCTTGGGTTGTTGGAAAAGAGTGTTTGTTATGACCATCGTATTCTCTTGACAAAATTCTATTAGCCTGTGCCCTGCTTCATTTTGTACTCCAAGGCCAAACTTGCCTGTTATTCCGGTTATCTTTTGGCTTCCTACCTTAGCATTCCAATCCCCCATGATGATAAGGACATCATTTTTTGGTGTTAATTCTATAAGGTGCTGTAGGGCTTCATAGAACCGGTCAATTTCATCCTCTTCAGCACCAGTGGTTGGGGCATAGATTTGGACTATTGTGATATTGAATGGTTTGCCTTGGATTCGAATTGAGATCATTCTGTCATTTTGGGGATTGTATCCCAGTATTGCTTTTCCTATTCTTTTATTGACTATGAAGGCTACTCCATTTCTTCTGAGGGATTCTTGCCCACAGTAGTATACTTGATGGTCATCTGAGTTAAATTCACCCATTCCTGTCCATTTTAGTTCGCTGATTCCTAAGATGTCAATGTTCAGTCTTGTCATCTCTTTTTTGACTACGTCTAGCTTGCCTTGATTCATGGATCTTACATTCCAGGTTCCTATGGAGAAAAAAATCTTTACAGCATCGGACTTTCCTTTCACCACCAGATATATCCACAGCTGAGCGTCCTTTCGGCTTTGGCCCAGTCGCTTCATTCTTTCTGGCGCTACTAGTACTAGCCCTCTGCTCTTCCCCAGTAGCATATTGGACACCTTCCGACCTGAGGGGCTCATCTTCCAGCGTCATATCTTTTTTCCTTTTAGTACTGTCCATGGGGTTTTCATGGCAAAGATACTGGAGTGGTTTGCCATTTCCTTCTCCAGTGGATCACATTTTGTCAGAACTCTCTGCTATGACCTGTCCGTCTTGGGTGGCCCAGCACGGCATAGCTTATAGCTTCATTGAGTTACACAAGCCCCTTCGCCACGACAAGGCAGTAATCCATAAAGGGGATATGTAGCATAGAAATAAATATATTTAGCAAAATAGGTGTCATCAGTTTCAGAGCAGGAGTGGAGAGAACAAAACTACCCTGAATCAGTCCTGATCTCAAGTTCAACTTGTCTCTCAAGATTACTATAAGAATAAGACATGGGTAGATTGTAAGACAAGGTCTTTGAAAGACATTTAGTATAAAAATGACAAAGTACTTGTCTATCAGTGCTTTGTGGAATTGTTTACATGCAACTCAGATTAGAAGTGGTTCTTACTTTTATCATAATTTCTATCAGCATTATATGGAGGGCAGTTCTATACTTGATCCTTCTCAATTTTTTGCTCTCTCATCTATAGTTACTAAAGATAAAGGTGACTTACACTATTTCCTCAGAAGCATGGATTTTTTCACAACCCTCTGGGGGCTCCCGCTTGAATACATAGGTGTGGTTGGGACGAGGAGACAGAGCAAAGGCAAGGACTGGAGAAGTGATGCCATTTTCTGAAAGAGGAAAATTAAGGAAGAGAACCCATTCAGTCAAATAAATGCAGAAACAATGAAAGCTGAGTTAATGTGCTACCTTTGCCAGCAGGATTTCTGTTCCTCAGATGAAACTACATAAAAGTAGAGTTATACATCTGACAGAACTGAAATACCGAGATGAAATCCTATTACGGATTTCATGGGACTTGAGACTGCTCAAGCAATAAATTTGCCATGTAGTCTACTGGAATGGTTTTTAATCAAAAGCAAATCTCATAACAATTATATACATTTGTTTTTAAAGGTTTGCATTTAAGTAGTACAAAGCTGTACTATAAGACAGATAGATAGATAGATAGATAGATAGATAGATAGATAGATAGATAGATAGATAGATAGACAGACAGATAGATAGATATCATTTATTTACAACATTTATAAAGGGGCCCATCTTCAACCAACTCTGGACAGCTCCCAATTAGAAAAACTCAGTTCCTAAAGAAGCAAACATTAAGTCTCAAGTCATGTTTAATGATAAGACTTTCATATCAAGAATGTCCATAAGGTATGGTAAAAAAAGTGAAGATAGTGGCTGTGACACACAATGCACATAAAAAAAAAACAGGTGGAGCTTTTCCCTTGTAACACTCTGCAGAACAACCTCTGCCTACAGTTGTCAAAATTGATAGCAGAATTTCTTGCCATTTGGGAGGAAAAACCATGTCCTAAAATAGATTTAATCATTTATAAAACACAGAAGAAGAAGAAAATCATATTACCTCCAAAATTCCAAGGTAGGGAAATCACATTTTGTCTTCCAGCCACTATGCATCATTTTGGCTATATCCAAAATATTTAGTCCCCAGCCATCAAAACATTGCCCATCCAATAGAAATAATTAGATCCAATTGTTTACACTAAAATAACTAATTTTGTTTATATCTGTTTACCTATAAGAGGGATCTCTTTTTTTTTATTCCTAACCCTTCCAGAATGCATCCTTAAATTGCTGAATGTCAAGGACCATTTAAAACAACAAGCCAATAAATCTCCTGTACAATGTACAATTCTTCAAAGCTATATATAACAGCAGACTGCTACTAATCTAACCTTCTTACCTCTACCTTTGTCCTCCAATACTAGCTTGTCTAAAGCCCTGGGCAAAGCTTCATCAGTTATTATCTGAGCAGGAGAATGTGGGGATTGTCGAAGAGCAGCTGAAGGGGATGGAGAAAGAGAAAGGCTGCTGCAGAGACTACTGTTTTCCAGATGTGGCAACAAGGAATCGTCAGTATTTCTTTGGAAAGGAAGTGGAGCTCTGTGCCCATCTGGGACATCTAAGATCTAAAAGAAAGCATACCCTCTAAGTACAAACAAGCAGGCAGGAATGAGCAGAGTCATGGGGAGACCTTGACAACATTTTAAAATATTTAAAGCATTTTTATCCCTCTTCTTCCAAAAACATCCCTCTAGCAATTTATATAACAAAAATATTGACAAAAGTATAGTCTATAAGCAATCTTATAGTTACCAATAAAATTATTCAGGGAGAAGAGAAACCAAATGTAACTAGTTCCTGTTCCTCGGCCATAACTTGATGGAATATAGATATGCTCCAAAAATAATGATATGAAGGACAGAGAGCTAGAAAACCCAAAAGACTAACAATAATTTTCCCCACATAAATCATATCCCATAGATAAGACTACCCATAATTTAAATTAGATGGCGATAATAGATTTGGGTGCAAGGCAAAGAGTAAGGTGTAGTGATACCATGATAAAATTTGACTGAAATGTGATATGTTTTTATAAGTGCGTAATATCTAAAGCACTCTAATTCAGCTTTGGGGAAAGACAGCAGAAGGTTAAAGACCACATTTATCAATCCTCCATGAGGGTGCCCTAAGTCAATATTTGGTACCAGTACTGGACACAGTATTTAGAAAGAGTCAATGATAAGGATAAAAAGCCCTACAGGTGCATGTGACAAGTTTCCTACTTTTTCCTTTTTCTCTTTACTATGAGATCATTGGAGACATATTTAGTCTTATAGGTACAATGTTATGAGCTCTATTGCAAAACCTCCTTGCTTTGGAGGAATTGTGTGTATCTTTGTTATTGTTTTGTTTTGCTGTCACCAAGAAAGCTCTTGGAGAATTCAAAAATTATTTTAAATTTCTATTCAACATCAGCAACTTTAAGATGTATGAACTTCAATCCTAAAATCTCCCCCCGCCCCCCAGCATTGCTCTTGTTAAGAAATCTAGGAGCTGAAATTTACATATTTTATAGTTGCTGAAGTCAGCAAATACTACCGTAACACAATATAATTGGTTGGAATGTAGACAAGTCATTGGTTGGTTAACATAGGAACATATTGATTTCTATTAAGAAATTAAGAATGGGATTTATAAAGATTCATCTATTTCTCTAATTGTATATACCTTGCAAATATAATCCTAGAGCCCTAAAATTATTTTTAACTTTGTCTCTCAGTCTAAGAGTCAGGTTGGAGTCTCTTTCAGACCTGGGTTTCAACCCATTTGCCCAAGATCCCTTTCTCCATGTTCCTTCTCCCTGCTGGACTACACAGTGAGATGCCCATCATTGCTGTTCTCTAACTGGCAGTTCTATCCCAGAATCATCACAATCTCCTGCAAAGCAAAACATAATTTGCCCTCAAAAATGGGCATTTGCTTTTTCTGATGGTCTGCCCTGTGAAGAACAGTGCAGTGTAGATCTCTATGAAATATATTTTGTTCTTCATTGTCAAAGGAAATTATGATAGCCAGAATTTCCCTTTCTTCATTATACAAAATATTGGAAATTTCAAAGTTGAGAATCCAAATCATGTATGGAAAAGCATGCGGCTGTTTTTGGATGGGAGGAGCTTGATCATTTAAACTGGCAGTGAAAACTGTGTAAACATTCTACAAAAATTGACATGTTCTGAGTTCCAGATAAGGTGACTCTCATATCTCACCCCACCAGCAGTAACTCACTCTGAGGAGTTCCTCGTCTCCTTGCTCCTTTACAAACATCTCTTCCAATTCCTGACTGATACTGTCGAAACTGTTGTGCAAAGAAGGGCTGATCGATACAGTGGTCGGGACTGGAAAAGATGCAAGTGGGGAAGCCTACAAACAAAGACATGCAGTGTTGTATCAAGAAGCCACTAACACCTTGGTGCAAGCATAAAATATTCTCCAAGGTGGATGGATAGCACATAACTTTGTGGACCAATACTCCCCCATCTGTTATGAACATATAAAGTAATTTAAAATTTGGCCATTATTCCACTGATCCCCAATAGAATGATAGCTGCTCTTATTTCCTGTTTAATGGACTATGCTTGCTAATATGATTCCAATTTTTTGAATTTTCACAACATGATGAATTATAATTTATCTTCAGGGATCATATATAGCTAAGCTAATATATGGTTGATTGTGTATGGAGGTCTTTCTGTCATGTAAATATTAGCCACTGGTTCTTACAGATCTTTCTAACTTAACGTTGCTACAGACACTGAGCCTAAGATCATCTGCATATCAATAAGGTTCTTAGGCTAAGCAATAGACCTTTTTCCTCTAATTGTCAATGAAAATGGCAATTGGGAAACAACTGGGAAATGGACTGGTAAAGATATGGCTGATATAATCAGATGTGCCTGGTTCATGCTGCATCTTGGCTATGGATTGTAATGGAGCTTTAAATAAGTCATGCACAATCTCAATATACAATGCCAATATAGTCAACAGACACAGAAAAGGGGCGTTGTCTTACCTGAACGCCTTTTCTCAGCATGAAGATGGAGAATCCACCAATGGGTTTAGACCAGCGGTTCTCAACGTTTGTGTGACAGCGACCCCCGTCACACAAACGTTATGCATATGCACAGCGCGGCGGCGGCCCCATGCACGGCGCGCCCCATGCGCGGCGCGCATGCACGCCGCCACCCCCATGCGTGGCGCGCATGTGCGGCGCCGCCCCCGGAGGGGAGAAAATGGCAGATCGCCGCCTTTGGCAACCCCCGAAAAATGGTCGATCGACCCCAAATGGGGTTGCGACCCATAGGTTGAGAACCGCTGGTTTAGACTGTATTCCTGCCCAATCAGATCAAGTCAGCCAAAGTTGCCACGCCCGTCCTGGACCATAGAGATCCCAGTCTTGACACGAGCGTAGCCATTGACTGACCATAAGACGTGGCTCACAAACTAAAACTAACCCTAGGCCTAGATGACCTACAAGGGTGGGTGTGGATTCTCCATCTCCGTGCTGAGAAAAGGCGTTCAGGTAAGACAACGCCTCTTCTCCAGCACTGGAGATGGAGAATCCACCAATGGGACATACCAAAGCCTACTGTCCCTGAGGGTGGGGAGTAGAGTGGTCCAGTGTGGTACTTTGATGTAAAACTTGTTGGAGAGCTCTCCTACCGAAGGAAGCCTCTGCTGAGGCAAACCTATCAATTTTATAGTGCCGAATGAAAGGAGATGGCGAAGCCCATGTGGCCACCCTTCAGACTTCCTCGATGGAAGCCTGGGTGGCCCATGCCACAGAAGTAGCTGCACTCCGTGTGGGCTGTAACCTGTCTTGGAACCGGCAGTGACTCAGCTTGATACGCCCCGGTGATGCATGCTCTAATCCACCTGCCAATAGTGGAAGAGGAAATCTTCCGACCCCTGGAGGAAGAGTGGAAAGATATAAAAAGGGCTTCTGATTTGCGGAATTCTGCTGTCCGTGAAATATAGTACCGAAGTGCTCTACAGATATGCAAACTATGCCATTGCCGTTCCAGAGCATGCGATGGGTTTGGGCAAAAATCTGGCAGCACTATCTCCTGTGACCTATGAAATAAAGAATTGACCTTCGGGATGAAGGTAGGGTCAAGTCGAAGGACCACTTGATCCCTATGGAAAGCGCACAGATCATCCCGGATTGAGAGCACCACCAATTCAGAGATACGTCGTGCCGACGTGATTGCCACCAGGAATGCCACCTTATGGGACAGGTAGAGAACGTCACACATCTTTAGGGGCTCGAAGGGTGACTTGGTAAGAGCCCGTAAGACCTGTGGTAATTCCCACGAAGGGTACCTGTGCACGGTGGGAGTTCTGGTGTTAGCAGCCCCTTTAAGGAATGAGCGGAGTAAAAGATGATGTCCCAATGACTCAACAGAGTTACAAATGAGGACCGTGGAAAGAGCGGCGATCTGCCTGCTCTAGGTCGCGAAAGTGACGGAAGGCTAGATGGATGGCTCGTAGTTCGAGCCAGTTTATGTAATGCCGGAGATCTGAGGTGGACCAACGTCCCTATGTCCACTGCGACCGAAGGTGTGCTCTCCAGCTGAACAGGCTGGTGTCGGTCATGAGTACTATCCTGTCCGGCTCCTTGAAGCATGACCCTCTGAGTATGGCTGGTGATAGCCACCACATGAGGGAACCGCAACACCTGTTGTGGGAGTCTTACCCTTTGTTGGGATGCACTGAGGTTCTGCCTCTGGAAGGGAAGCATGAACCATTGTAGTTCCCGGGAGTGGAGCCTGGACCATGGCACGATTGCTATGGCCGAGGTCATCTTCCCTAACAATTGGGAGAGACTGGCCAACGTTACTGACTGACACCTGCGTAATTGAAGAACTGACTCCCTTATGCTGTTCCGGCGTTCTTGGGATAGGTACACCCGGCACTCCACTGTGTCTATGATGGCCCCGAGGTGTAATAGTCTTGTTGTGGGGACCAAGTGGCTCTTGGGAAAGTTTACTGAGAACCCGTGGTCCTGGAGCAGTTTTACCACCAGTTCGAGGTCCGACAAGGCGGACCCGGTGGACGATGATTGGATTAATATGTCATCTGGGTAGCATTGGACTCTTACCGATCTCATCCTTAAATGAGCTGCTAGAACCGCCAGGATCTTGGTAAACACCCTGGGAGCCGATGATAGGCCAAACCGGAGCGCTCTGTGCTGGAAGTGGCGTCCCTTGTATGTGAACCGTAGAAACCGTCGGTGGGCCAGAGATATAGGGATATGAAGGTAAGCCTTCGTGAGGTCGATAGACGTCAGGAGGTCCCCTTTTCTTATGCTTCTCAAGATGGAGCGGAGCATTTGCATCTTGAATTTGTGGTATGCAAGATGGAAATTCAAGCCCTTGAGATCTAAGATGGCTCTCCATTCCCCTGATGCCTTGGTAACAACGAAGAGGATGGAGTAAAATCCCTGACCTCTCTGGTCCAGTGGAACCGGTTCTATGGCCCGTATGTGTAATAAATGTTGAACGGCTTCGTTCATTAGTCTTTTGTTTGTTCAGTTTCGGGGATAAGAACAAGAGAGGAACCGATTTGGGGGGTTGGATACAAAGTCCAGAGAAAGACCATGACGGACGGTGTTGAGCACCCACATGTCCGTGGTGATGGCCTCCCACTGGTGGGCAAAGAGAGATAGTCTGCCCCCTATGGGAGGTACTGATGGGGAGTCACCTGGAGCAGTGGAATGGCCTGCTGTTCCCTTGAAAGGGCCGCTTGCCCTGCGGTTGTTGTCTGAGTCTAGGAGCTTGCCTATCAGCCTGTCTCTCCTGCCTATCTTGCCTGGCCTGAAAGGGCTGGAAGGGCTGAGTATAACTGTATCTAGCTCCAGCACGAAAGGACTGCCTCCTTGGGTAATAGCTGGAGCGTTTGTCTGTTCTTTTGAGGAGATGATTGAGGACCTTGCATTTGTCCTTGTTTTCAGTTAAGTAGGGATTTAGCACGTCCCCAAATAACTTACCTCCCTGATATGGAGCAGCTGCCAACTTCCACTTGGACTTAGCATCGGCTTGCCAGTGCTTCAACCAAAGCATACGTCGACCAGTGATACTGGACGCCATAGCTCTGGACGAAAACCTGGCGGCCTGGAAGGTTGCGTCTGACGCATACTCAGTGGCCGCCACCATCTTACTAATGTCCTGGTGTGTGCGGATATCCTCCGCTGGAATCCGGGCTTGAAGTTGCCGGAGCCAGCAGAGTGCGGCCCTATTGAAAAATGAGGCGGAGGTTGCGGCCCTGATCGCCCATGCAGCCGCTTGGTGTGTTCTGTGGTAAGTGGACTCGCACTTGTGGTCCTCAGCCTTAAGGGCCTCTGAAAAATCCCCGGAGATGGCGGTGGCCGATACTAGGGGCCCTAAGGGCTTGTCCACAACCGGTACCTCCAGAACCTCCTCCAGATCCTTGGCCACATTGTACAGCCTTTTGTCGGTGTTATTTGGGAGGGAAAGAGAAGCCAGAGAGGCCCATTGTTTCCGGATCATATTCAGGAATAAAGAAGGACATGGGATGCGGTGTTGAGCGGCGACCGCCTCGACGAAATTCGGGTCTGCCTCCGAGTCTGAGTGAACGGGAGTCATTGTTGATGAAGTTCCCGGCCCAAGATGAGAGGTGGATGTGGCCTTACGTAGCAAGGTGATAAAGAAAGAAGAATTAAAGAGGCCACTGAATGAAGGAGCCTCTGGAGGAATTTCTTCCTCTTCAGACATTTGAACCTCCTGCTCTGTGGCAGGCTGGTTGAGGTAAGAATCCTCAGAAACTGATGACTCAGATGGAGAAGAGGGGTTATAATAGGTCTCAGTCCCCGGTTGTTGGACGGTACGGGGAATGGCAGTCCCTGGTCTAGAGGCCTGAGCCCTGGCATCAAGGGTTCGGTCTACTGCTTGTGCAATCAGTAGGGCTAGGCGGTCCTCCGTAGGGAAAGGGGCCGGCTCACTAGGACAGAGCCCTGCTGCAGTAGGAGTGAATGTGGCCTCGGGAGCCCCCTGAGGCACCCATGTAGTGGAAGATTGGGAAAAAGAAGGAATGTAAGGATTCCCCCATTGACCAGATCCCAAGAGGGGAGGTTGGAACCCCCAGGGGTAAGTCAAGGGCTAACCCTCCGGTCTGAGGTGTTTCCAACCTGGCTCTTTTCTGTGCCTTGGAGAACTCCTTTTCTAAGGCTTGGTGTCTCCTGCTGACCTGTTTGTCTGCTTTCTTGGAAGATTTTGTGGTAGATCTGACCTTGGAGGTAGCTATCTTCTCAATGTCTTCCGGACCAGATATACCTGATGAGGATGGCAAGGCTCCCTTCGAGGAAAGAGTAGACTCCTCCATTCTCCGATAGCACAGGAACACGATAGGGGGCCCCTGGTATCTGGAGAGTATTACACACTGGGTAAGGACAGACATACTACAGGGGACATCGGGAACCTAGGTAAAGCCTCTGCGTGGATAAGGACAGGCGCACGACTAGGGACGCCTGGAATCCAACAATGGCTGTACACGGATAAGGATAGACACACTGTTGGGGGTGTCTGGAATCCGGCCTGAAGTACTGTGGATAAGGACAGGCACACTACTGGGGACGCCTGGAATCCAAGTAGTTGTTAACCGGATAAGGACAGACACACTACAAGGGGTGCCTGGAATCCGGATGAAGCCAATTGTATGAGTGTTGACAGTATGAAAAATAGGAGACACCAGAGCCTACAAAAGGGAAAACCCCAGGGAAAGCCTGGGTGACAACAATCCAGTCAAATCACAAATAAAAATGGAGACCTGTGATTGTCGGTGAAGAGAGAATATATAGGGAAGCGGCTAGGCCCCTTCTCTGAGAGCAGGCCTCAACCCTGCACCCAAAATGGCGGCCGACTAAGCAATGGCGGCCTGCCAATCTGTAGTGAGACCGTCTGTAGCTTTGATTTGAGGACTACCCCCCCTGTGAGATCCCTCACTTTAAATATCTCTCAGTGTAAAGCAGGAAGAATCCCCTTCCACCTTATTCTGAACTCGCTAGGCTTATTAAGTCCACGTGGTCCCAAAATGGCGGCCACGCGTTAAACCGCGCGATCCTAAAATGGCGGCCGTGCGTGGGCCAACTCCGAAAAGCAAGGCCTGCCCGAGACTCGATTCTGTGGAGGAGTGCAATTCGTGAGAGAAGCAAGGCAGAGAAAAAACCGGCTGTTTTAGACTTACCGAGCAGCCGCCGAACAGCTGATCAGCGCTGCTCTCGTGTGCGCGCACCCCCTTTTCGGCCGAAAGATTGAAACTCGTTGGATAGACTGAGGAAACGGCCCGAAATCGCTCTGCTGGCCTGAATCCACCTCAAGGCTCCAACGGATCCCGAATGAGCAGGGAAGGTCTCTGAAGGTATTTTTTTTCTGAAACCGGTCCCCGGAGTTGCAGCTGCAAGCTCTGTTGGAGATATTGATCTCCTCAGCTGGCTGGGGCTAACGTCCATTAGTCCCTATCAATCCAGTAAGCAGAAATTTTTTTGGATGGGGGGAGGGGGAAAAGGAGGAAGAAGCCCCTTCCTGAACAAAAGCTCGTGTATCCCCCCCAACTAGAGGGAATTAGGAGTTAACTCCAATTTCCAATGGAAAGGATTGGAGAATCTGGTAATAGCAATGAAAATTTGAATTGGGATTAATTCAATTAGGCCACTATAGCCTAACAACTACTGGGGAAAAGAAAATCCACCAATGGCGACTGTGCCTGCCTAAGAGCCAAATCTGCACGTCTGTCCTGGGCAAGATCAAGTCAAGACTGGGATCTCTATAGTCCAGGACGGGCGTTGGCAACTTTGGCTGACTTGATCTGATTGGGCAGGAATACAGTCTAAACCCATTGGTGGATTCTCCATCTCCAGTTCTGGAGAAATACCCATATTCCTTATATTATGCCTTAGGTTGAAGGAAAATAATTGTTCCAGCTTCCCTATACAAGCCATCGAGAACTGAATACTTTAGGCCAATTTTTTCTCAATAAAACTTTCTTTTCCTCAGTCCAAGAGTTTCTGTTTCCTGCCATTTTCTAATAGAAACATTAAAAAAATACAAAAAATTAGAAGATACCTTGATTGATGGGACCATGCTATGATTGCCTTGAGTGGAAAAGCTCTGGGCTTTCTCTTTGCTATTCCAAACAGCAAGCTTTGTTCGCTGGAGCTGTTGCTTCAGTTTAGCAATCTAGAGAATGAAAAGTTACCTAGTCTTGAGTAGCATAATGGATGAGGTTTATTTTATTTTTTAATTTATTTTTATCCCACCTTTATTATGTTTATAAGTAATTCAAGGTTGCACACATATACTACACACATATATAATACTACTTCTTTGTCTCATTTTTCCCCTTAATAATAACCTTGTGAGTTGAGTTGGGCTGAGACAGAGTGACTGGCCCAAAAACACCCAGCCGACTTTCATGCCTAAAGCAGGACTAGAACTCACAGACTCCCGGTTTCTAGTTTGGTGTCTTAATCACGAGACCAAACAAACTAATAAACTAAGATGCAATCTCCAAAAGACAGATGTATTGATGGCAGGCACTTCATCTGTTCATTTAAATGGTGCCCAGGCAGTTCTGAAAGATTGCACACTCTCTGATCAATTGCACAGAGAAGAGATACTGGCATTTTAAGACTTGCTAGTTTTACTGAGCTCTATCATTACTATCTCAGGAATTCTTACTTCTTTGTGAAATGCTACAGTTTATTATGGTTTAAAGTATTTTTTTTTAATTTTAATGATGTGTTTGTTTTTCATAAGACCTTGAAAACTTTGGTAGACAAAAACAAGCATTCCAGTATTTGTTAGATAATAGACAAATAAACAAATATTTGCAAATAAAGTTATCAGAGCATAGGAAAATCAATCTTAATGTTTTAAATCTCGCAAACAAATTCCATCTTAGAATCCCTGTTCCATCAGGTCATCAGTTTTGGCTTTTTGTTATACTTCTCTTTTAAAGAGTGATTATAAGGTGGACTTGTACACTTCTATAATCAACCCAACACTGAGTGTGAATAGGATATATGATTTTTAAAATAAAATAAAGTAGATGCATTAAACCTACCTACAGAGTAAACATTCTTATTTTCCAGAAAATAATAGAAAATAATGTCACTAAAACAAGAAGTATTTTGGCAATTTAATTCTTTTTGCACATTACACAGTGGTAAGATAAATGGCACCTGACATGCCAAGTGATCATCTTACCTCTCTACGATGATCCATATTATTCCATGAGGCAGATCGCTTATGATCTGTAACTTTTCTCACCTCTGATTCATACCAAGATACTGGAGTCTGCAAAGTGAGAGGAAAGGAGGAGCTATCAATATTGGATCAACATTTGGAAGTTTAAAGAGATTAGTTCCAATGTGTCAATCTTCTTCTGAAAGAGCTATTCTGAAAGAATATTGATGGTGAAATTATTTTAAAAGTACAGAATAAAAAAAAAACCATGATCTCTTCCCTGTACAGAAAAAAAATTCAGCTTACAGATTTCCTAACTTTTCCTTCATGAGAATAAACCTAGAAGTGATTTTGGGGAAGATAATCTTGCACAACTACTTGAAACACCAATATCCAGAAGGAACTGGTTTCATCAGCACTTCTGTGCTTTGAGTGTTTTAAAATTAGAATGTCTTCTTGGGCACCTTAGCAGAAAGGCTGGATTTTTGGTGCCCTCTAAATATGTTAGGTTAGTGTTTCTCCACCTTAGCAACTTTCATATGTGTGGATTTCAACTCCCAGAATTTGCCAGCCAGCACGTTATAGTACTCTAGTCATATTGGCTAAGAATTCTGGGGACTAGCCCTAGCATATCTAAAAGGTACCAGGATTGAGAAAAGCTACATTAAATAAACAACAGTTCATGTATATGAGCCCAAATATATTTCACATCCCACCCAATTTTGGCAGGTTCTTCAAATTTTGCACACTTTGTGGTAAGTAGTCACGGTTGGACTCAGAGATGAGAGAATATATGGACAAGAAAGTTCACACAGGTTCAGTAGATGTCTCAATGTAAGGACAGCTTTCCTCTTTGGGATCTTGGATGGGAAATCATAGAGTTGAACTCCAAAACGCCTGGAGAGAACCAGATTGAGCATGGCTGATATAAGAATATTGTTTGAAGCATTTACTGCACTGAAGGGTGACAGAGATACTGGCAATTATTATTCATTATCACTAATTATCGGCAAGGTTTCCGTAAGAAAATATACACTCAATTCTATTAAGCAGATCTGACCTTCCCTGCAACTGATGTCAAGTAGCTTGCCATGCAATTATGCTAACAGGTACATTCAGTGTCCAATGCTGGATTGCACAGAAGTGAAGATAATTACAATGTCCAAAAATTAGAGTACTTCCAGGTATATTACTTGCCAGCTTGGGCATTCTAGACTCCCCATTTACAATGTAAACTAAGGGACAAATCTTCTACCAACCGTATAGGAGACTGAGCTGCTAAAACATTTGTGTTTCTTATTTCTAAGTATATATTATCCATCACGATTAGGTAACAAGATTTTCTCTATATCTTTTGGTTCTCTTCAGCCTCATCCTCTAATTTCACAATTACTAGGAGTGATTTTAGGAGGATTCATCTTGTGCCCCAAGCATCTGCTAGACAAGCTGCCAAAAGAGCATAAGGGGCCTATCCAGCATATAAAACTGACCTTCAACAGAGTACTTGTTATAAAATAGAAGGCTAGCAGCTATTTCTGCAAAGAGCTATGTTGAAGAATCTGGAGAGACAATGGATGGCACAGCCTCAAAGGCTGAGCAACTATAAAACTTTAGGAGCCAAGAAACAACATTCTCAGTGAAAAGGCTTAGCAAAAATAAAGAGAAGAGCTGCAGAGGAGTTGCAGGCAAGAGCTAAATACTGTTTGCAAAGCTCCCTCCTCTACTAGAAATGCTGTGTGAAAAGTGACTCTTTTTGTTTAGCAAGCATTTTGGGGTAGAAGCACAAGACCAGCCACACCTAAATATTACCATGGCTGTGAATCTAGTGAATTCAAAAAGTCATTAGCCAATTGTCAGCCATGGTAGACAATTCCACTGAAGCAAACAAGGGACACAGGCTCATATCAGGCTATAGAAGGCTGATTTAAAAAACTCTGGCTATGATGCCAAGCACAAATCCCTGTCTCAAATAAGCGTGGGACAGCTTCCTGTCTCAGTGACTAGCTTTCAAGCTACTAAGCTGGCCTGTATAAAGAAAATGTACACCATGCTACAGAAGATAGGCCAATTATATTTGAAGTTTATTTTTCTGTTTCTATGAATGCAAAGATGGAATCCTCAAGAACAGCAGTTCCTCATCTAGTCCTCCTAGGCTTCCCTGAGAAAACAAATCTGAGAACAAAAACAGTATCTCTATGCTGAGTTTATCCAAGGCTTCAAGAAGCAACCTCAGTTCAGTTCAACCTTATATCACTATAAATTTATCTGGAATATGTATCTTAGTTGAAGACTAAGTTAAACTGGTGGAACTCTTATTGAACTGGTGTAAGAGAGTGTTTAATGGGGTATAAAACTTTTTCTGTATTAAAGTCCAGACTTGACCTTTGAGTGCATCCGGTGTACTGGATTGAGCCAGAAAATAAACCTTAATATTTAAGCATATTTATTTTAACATAAAAGGTAAAATACAAAACAGAAAAACAAACAAAACAAAAACATAAATCCAGCACTAACAACAACAATTGGTGTACAAAAAATTAGAAACTGCAACTTGTTTAGGCTTGGGGCATCAAATTCTGTAGCTCTGTACATTACACAAATTTCCTTCTTCATGATTTATTTAAGATGCAAGGAGATTTATTCCATTCTGTCCCTGCCCTGCGCCCCCAGCCATATGACACAGTCTAATCAACTGCAAATGTATGTTTCAATACCTGTTTGGTAAAAACTGACAACAAAGAGACAACCTTACTTTCAACCCTTCTCCTGCCCAACCCTGAAATCTGTTAAGAGGAAGGAGCCAAAATGCAATTCTCTGCCTTCTGAAGAACTGGTGTAGGAGGGGAAAAGAAAATGTTTTATTGATTAGAGCTTTTGAAACTCAAAAGTCTATAATAACTTTAAAAGGCATCACAGAAAGCTTAGCAAAGTCGCTGTATTCAACAAGTCCAGACTCAGTAAATTTCCTGCCTAGGTTAAGAAATCTTGGTCCCTCCTTGGCTTTAGGAAAGCTATAAAGACTTACTTGTTCTGTCTTGCAAAGATGGAGACAGTATTATGCCTGGAGGTGGGGTTCATGGGCATACAAATTTTATCCTTTCTGGTTTAAAATATTTTTTTTTATTTTTGAATAAAACAATAAGAGTTTGGGAAAAAGAAGCATATAAGTACAACAAATAAATAATAAATCTTAACTATGGAACTACTAGAAAAGACAGTATGGGAAATGCCCAGCAATCCAAACTGCCCCATGGAGAGCAGTCATGCCAAAAGCAAGCCAGTCTCAGCAGGCAGCAAGGCAGAAGCTGTCTCTACTCTCAAACAGAATAGAATAAAATAGAATAGTCTTTGTTGGCCAAGTGTGATTGGACACAAAGAATTTGTCTCTGGTGCATAAACTCTCAGTGTTTATACAAACAACAAAGCAATACCAATAAGAGAAGGTAATAGGAAAGATGAGACGGATAATAATACAGCCCTACTACATGGATAAATATTCTTAGACACAAGATATCTAGTTAGGAATGCCTTACTTCGTGTTTGGAAAAAGTATTATTATAGATTAAATTATAAAATACCTATCTGGGGGATTCCCAGACATGCAATTGAGGGAACTTCTAAGGGGACAAATTTTGATAAAATCTCGTATAAAGAATTGTTAATTTGCTCTGGTTCGAATTGGCATTTGAAATCCCTAGATGTATTAAGGCAGGAAAATATTCTACAGTCATGGTTTCAATATTTACAAATAGTGGACAGATGGACTGTAGATAAGAGGGAATAACATTAGAAGATAGACAATTGGTTATTCAGATTAAAAATCAAAGTCTGGCTCATATAAAAAGAATATACAATGTCTTATCTTATTAGAGTTAGACTCGGAAACAGAATTGGTTAAAGATTATATGATTAAATGGGCTCAGAATATACAGGAACTGATCTCATTGGATTTATGGGAGATAATTTGGACAAGAAATGTTAAATTTACACAAGCTCAAAATTTGAGAGAAAATTTTTATAAAATGTTTTATAGATGGCATTTAGATCCTAAAAAATTATCTTGTATGTATTCCAATATACAGCCCAAATGTTGGAGATGTGGTAATAATGATGCGACATACTTTCATATTTGATGGAATTGCAAAAAAGTAAAGGCTTTTTGGATTATGATTTGGTGGAACATTCAAAAGATTTTTAGAAGAAAGATAAAGTTTACTCCTCAACTATTTTTACTTGGTATTTTCGTTGATTTAAATGAAAAAGAAACTACTTTGATGTTGAATTTATTAACTGCAGCAAGGTTATTAGTAGGTTTATACTGGAAGAAAGATTCTTTGCCTACTTTAGAAGAATGGATATTTAAAGTATCTAGTTTTGTAGAAATGGCAAAAATTTCTGCTTATTTAAAGGATCATACACAAGAAAGATATATTATTGTATGGAGAAGATGGATAGATTATATTCAGAAAAAGTATGGAATTAAAAAGTTTCATTTATTTTTTGAATGAATATTAAATATAGAGAATTGTTTTATAGGTTATGGAGTTAAAGGTTAATTATGACATTTTTTTCTTTTTTCTTTTCTTTTTTTATTATTATAAATTTTGTTATTATTAACCCTGTATTCTGCTCTGGGAAGTGAAGGGAGGGGGGTTGGGAGTGGGAGGGAGGGTAAGGGGGGGGTAAAGGTAATATAGACAATGGTTGCTTATGAATTTATTTTACTTTAAAATTTTATTGTATTTTTATAATGTTTGTATGTTAAAAAATAAAAATTTTCAATAAAAAAAAGATATCTAGTTAGGAAGAGATGGGCATAGGGAATTCCATTTAGAAGGTTCAACAATACAGATTGTCTTAAGACAGTCTGACTTTAAACATCGTATCTCCCTTTCTATGTTATAGTAGAAAATTCCCAAAATTATTATGGTAATGGTGGTCAAAATAGCTTTCACATGAAAGAAAGAGGAGGAAAGTGCTTTGAGAAACAATCAAGTCTGAAAACCACAAGGACAGATAATCTGCAGGAAAGGAATAACTCAAAAGTCTTATCCCCACAGCTTTAAAATATTTTGCATAATTACAATAGATAGCAAGCTACATGCAGCAGCTGCAAAATGTGCAGAGAAAGGAATCTTACAGATGGTGGGAACCTTCTTGTTACAACTCATTGAGAGTATATCTGCATGTAGTCAAATCATGATTTTGCTCATGAGGGAAATATATATGAAGAGGGATGAAATACCTTTCTTCATTCAAACTATGGATCATTACATAACTTAGTTCCAGGCCATCTATTGGATTCCAGGAGATCCAACCTGTTGGATCCATCCATGAAAGACCCACACTGAATTCCTTCTTCGCAGATCAAGGTGGGGGAGGGACCCAGAAACAGTCCCTTTCATATGCTGCCCCATGAAGTCTGTCTGGCAGCTCCCTACACCTTTATTTTTTTTGTAAAGCAACAAAGATCTTAGAAAAAAAAATTCAGATGAAACATTTACTTGTTTTATGTTATTATTGTAATGTAGCAATGGTTATTCTTTATGAGACTAACTGAATTTAATATGATATAAACTTTTATGGCTTAATTTGGTTTGAGAAATAATGTACCAATAAAACAGTTTCTAGTTCATTTTGCTTTTGTTGCAAAAGATAAAGCTACTATAAAAGAGGACAGGGAATACGCGATCAAAATTAGGTAAAGAATGATAAGTATTGAGTAAATATATTGTTTTACATTTCATACATTTCATGAAGCATGTCTTTACAATTTTAGCCATGTAGATTACAATGTTTATTTCTCATGTCAGATTAAAGCTAGAGTTCCTAGGACACCTAACCCATGCCAGAAATCACATTTCTGTAGTTGTGTAATACATACTGCAGAATGGAATACTAGGAACTCAAACAATGACCAGGGACAATCATCACTAGGAGATGAAAGAAAACATCTCCTAAACTTGGCATTGCATGTGTTTGGCTAGGTGGAACTTAGTCTGACTGGAGATAGAATTGTACAGGATTTGGAAGGTGTGTATCTAAATTAGGGACAAGTAGAAGGGTTAAAGATACAAGGTCAAAAGATTCATTTTGAATTTGCAACCTCTCTTCCTTTATGTGTGAGCCATTTTAATTAAAATTAGGCATTTTGATTGAAAGTCTGCATTAAAACACATAATGATCACCTCTGATTTTTAAGGAACCTAATTAGATAGCAAATTTAATGACAGACAATATAATAATAATAATAATAAAAAGTTGGAAGGGACTTTGGAGGTCATCTAGTCCAGCCCCCTCTCTTGATTTCCAATTCCTTCCTCTTTTGATATCTGCTACCATACTGATCCTTCTGTAAGCTAAAGGATAGGCCCAATACCTGAGTAGATTTGTCACTCATATGTGACAAGGGAAGTCCTTCAGCATCCCGAGGCCACTGGCCCATAAGGTATGAACCAAGGATGGTATCTAATGATGATGTGTGCTGTATTCTTGCAGGTCTGTTCCTGGAGGCCTTTTCAGGACCAACAGCACATGGAACACTAGCTAGACAACAAGAAAGAAAGAAAAAAGAATGAATGAACAGATTTGCTACAAAATGAAAGCAAGCACCACTTCTATCAAAGTGCTTTCAGCAACTGTTTTCAATTCTTTCTTACATCTACTGTCTATTATTCTAAACCTTGAGGCTTCCTACATTGCCAGTCACAAATAGATTTCCAACCTACACTTTAGTCCACTATACTTCCCAGCAGTTGCATATGCCCTCTTCCCCAGCACAATGTGATATGGGTGGGGGGAAAACAAATACAACTCTTAAAAACCAAAGTGATTGCCACACATTTTAGAGGCATCTTAAAAAATGGTACTTCGGCAACAAATGACATAATATTAACTGAGCATTTTTTAAATTGATTTTACTAGTTTTGCTGTAACCAAATGTCTTTAACTAAACATCATAAGTTCCAAGCCTTAGTTTTGTGGAAACACAACTTAAAAAACAAACAAACCTAACAATGGGATGAGAAGACAGAGAACAAATAACCTGTTAGCAGCATTTTTTCCTTTTTCTAGACATAGCAAACATGCATTGTATGTAAGTCTATATACAGTAAACTGCTACCTTCCCCTTTTAAAATATACATCAACTGCAAGCAGAGACAAAAAAAACGGAATATGAAGTTTATGTAAAGAGCTATACAACTAAAGTAATTAAAATAAAGTTTCCTGAGCCCAGTAATCCAAATTCAAGTCTTGGAGTATGTAGCTTTCAATAAATTAGCTTACCCGGTGGCCTTGGGCAACTCATGCCTTCTCTCTGTTGAATCTTCCCCAGAGGAGTGAAGATGAAATATGAGACAAGTTGTGGTAATACTCAGCCCTTGGGATAGAAATCTAATTGCATCTAAATATATTCATTTCCCAACTGCTTCTCTAGTCAACAAGAATGCAATTTCCTCCCTTATTTTTAGGCTGGGCCTGCTGATTATCTCTCCTCCCTTATTACTGTTTTGCAAAGCCTAGTAACTTTACACATTTTTTTAAAAAAAATACTATTTACTGAGTAATATCAGTGTAAGTCAATTTTATACATTGTTCATAGTGCCAAAGGCTACAGCCACATTTATCAGCAGTCATACACAGCAAATTTTTCCACTTCCTTTTAGAGACATCAACAATTTTATGGAAGCTAATGAATTTATTAGCTATCTTCCCGATATAGACTTGCAGCTGTGCACGGACTACAACTCTTTTTTTCTTGAACCAGTAGTTATAATAGCAAGCACCTGAAGGCAGGAGAAGGAACAGATGGAAACTTATGAAGAGAAAATCCAACCTAGAAATAAGGAGAAGTTTCTTGACAGGTCAATTAATCAGTGGAATGGTTTGCCTTTTGGGTGCTCCTGGAGATAATAAGAAGAGATTGGACAACCGATTGTCTGAAATCGTATAAGGTTTCTTGCTTAAACAAGGGGTTGGACTAGAAGACCTTCAAGGTCCCTTTCAACTCTATTATTCTACTCTACTTACAAAGGATGCAGGATTAGAGAAAGCTGAACTAAGATGCAAGAACTTATAGGAAATGTGTCTATCCCAAACTGTTATTGAGAAAAAAGACAAAAGAAAACTTACAGATTTGTATATGTTGCAGAACTACCACTAAGAAGTTCACCTTTCTCCAAATATTTCAAACACAAAACAACACATAGTTCTGAAAATCAAAATGTTAATAGCATTGCCCATCTACACACTATTGTGATTGTCCCGAGAAGAGAATTATTTCATCTTCACAATACAGACCTTTTCTCACCTTGTATCTAAAAGCCTTACTGGAAAGGGCCAGTTTTTTGTTTGTTTGTTTGTTTGTTTGGTTGGTTGGTTTTCTGTTCTGTTTCATTTTGAATCTCCCAAAATTTATGAGAAGATATTTAACATATATCAGCAAAAAGCTGACACCAGTATGAATTACCAGGACAAATTGTTTTTAAAAAGCTGTTTGCCTCCCGAGTTAACCTCTTTGCATTAATTTTATGAATTACATTAGAACTTCAACCATCTATCAGTAAAGCTGACGACATTCTGCTTTCAGCTAACGTGGGCCATTATGAACTATGTCCTAAGGAGGGGAAATCTTCCCAAAGACATCCACTGATTCTGATAAGGCATCTGTAAAGCCAAGATTTCCTGGCTCCCAGCTACTGCATTTAAGTAGAAAAAATGTCAATGAAAGCCCCAGGCAGGAGTTTGTTTGCTTTTCATTTACACATAAATTAATATGCACTATTAAGTAAAGCAGGGATCTCCTGGTCTGCTGCCAAGGAGATCTCTGGCAGCTCCTATTCAGAGCTCAACTCACAACAGTTCAGCAGCTATTTAAGGCCTCTCCTGACTGGCTGTTGACTACACATCAGGGTCTATTTGAGGCACATGCATTCAACTTCAAAAGGATATGCCTTAATATAAAGCTTGCTTCTAGCATTCCTTCTTCAAACTAAAAATTCTGACTCAAAGGCAATCTTTTTTCATACTTGAGAAATCTACAGTTTCCCTTCTCACTAGCCTAGGACTGACAAATAAGTCAATGATTGGAACTGCTTGTGGCAAAAATACCTAGGAAATAGTGGCTGCACACTGCTAGCAGAACTGGAAAGATAACAGATCCACAGCCAATCTGAAGCATTTTCCTGTCCCAATCAAAGCAGCACTACCTAAAAATACACCAGGGGTTGCAAAACAATGCCTGCTTCAAGAAAAAGATGGCTTGTGAGAATAGCGGTAGGGCAGTGTGTCCTATTTACAGGGCTGCTCTATTATCAATTTAGTCCATTAGGCTAGGAACAGACCAGCCCCATCTGGCTGCATACTCTGGGATTAGTCCAAGCTCTGTATGCCAGTTAAGCATCTCCAATCAAGGCTGTGTCAAAAATGTAGGGAGCCTAGGCAGAAGAACACTTTGATAATAAAAACTATTATTATCTCAATCTCCCAGTCTGGTATCTTCTCCCTTACATCTGTTTTTTCCATATGGGACTTCTCCTTTCTTCATTCCCTTATTTTATTTTACATGCATGTGGAAATTATTACCATAAGAGAGTGAAAAATTGTGCCCCATCTTCCTCAACTATTTCACTGCATCTGCTCTTAGTAACATTGGCAATAACATTGGCAATAAGTCTTTTCTGTGACTTTAGGATACACAAGACCAGAGCAACAGCATTTAGCTGAAATTCTGTAGGCTAAAAACACAAGACAGAAGCTGTTCCTACATTCATTTCTACAAGTAGTTCTCCACTTATGGCTATTCATTCAGCAACTGTTACAAGTTACAGTGGCATTGAACAAAGGGACTTATGACCAGTCCCTGAAGTTATGGCCATTGCTGCATCCCTGCAATAACCAGATCAAAACTTGTGCAGTTGACAGCCTGTCTGCACTTACAACCACAGAGAATGTTACAACTCTCCCCATCCACTTCTCTCCCCTGCCGCCATGGCATCCTGCACTCTGCAAGCCCTGCTACCTTAGCTTCACCATCATTTTCCCATTGCTAACTAAGTTTGTCCAGCCTTGCCTTCCACAAGGCAACTGCTGGCTATACGAGGTTTTCTTCCCCAAGTGGTTTCTTTGTAAGATTGGGGAAGATGATCTCATGTGGCCATAGCTTCCTTGTAAAGGCCAAGCCAGGCAGTGTGAGGCCTTTCCCAGAACAAAGGGCAGCCCCAGTCTAGCAGTGTGGCAAGCAAGCTCCTTGTTGTGTAGTGGCTCTAAGAGGCAAGAAATCTCCTTACGCCATACTATGAGGCTGAGGTGAGGCGGACTGAGACTTCCATGGGTGGCTGAGGTTCAGGGGCTTATTGTAGCCCAAGAACTGCGGGGCACTAAGAGGACCCTGAGTCGTAGCCTAGTCTTTTTCTAGCCTTTCTGCACTTGCATACATGCACATCCTGGATTCTCTTTCCCTGGCCTCTCTGCACCTAACCCTCCCCCCATGCCCTCTCATCTTAGCTCCTTGAACTTGTGCCACTCTGCAGCACCCCAATTTGTGTGCGACAACAACTTCCCAGGGCTCCCCCCATCCCCTTGCAGCACTCCCCGTGCAGGACTCCCTCTGCTTCCCACTTAACCACCTCCAGATATGTAGCATGTCATTTACAATGCCAACTGGGACTGTCGGGATTATGCAATATTGTGTTGTACTTTACAACAGCACCACTTAGTGAAAGAAATTCCAGGCCTAATTGTAGTTGTAAGTTGCAAATATCTGTTTACTTCACTTCTGCTCTACTTATCCTGCTAGCACAGCAAATATTTAAGTTTTTCTCTTCCATTCAGTTTTGTCTCCCTGTTGAAAAGAAATTGTCTTTGTGTGTTTATTTTTGGCTTAATGTGTTGGTAGAACCCAGTTCAATAAGTAATGTTCAATATATCATAGTTAAATCTTCCAGGGGTTTTGGCACAACATGTAAACTCAGTTTTAGGGCCTGCTTTGTTTTAAGACAAAAATACTTTCCTGCCCAATAGGGGAAACTAAAAACATGAAGGAATTGATGCTTTTATAAATATTAGGCTTCATAACAAAGCTGATACAAGAAAGAGACTCAAAGTAATGGAACATTTGTGCTCAGATAACATCTTATATAACATGTAAAATATATTAGATACATTGCACTCAAATCAAATCTTCATAATGTCCATTAGTAACATCCTTAATAACTAGTAAAAACTGCTGAATATTTTTTCCATCTATGCAGTCTGCAACTTTTGGATAATCTGACAATGCTCCTTTTTGTGGTCTACCTTTAGATAACTGTGGCTTGAAATTCTAAAGTATTATAATCATGATCAACACAAAAAGATGCAAATATTATTAACCACCACAAATCATAAAACATGCAGCAATATAAATGGTTTCAGTAAAATTATATTAAGAAGATAGCAAGCACTAATGCATAAGCAACCATAGTTATTAGCAATCTAAGGGAAACTGCTGCCAAGTATAGTATATATGAAAGTGCAAATGGTTCTCCTACATAGTTTCATAATATATGAAACTGCAAGCCACACACTAAAACCCCGGTTTTTAACCATTAAGTAGGATAAAACAGCTACCATGAGAGTTCCTGTTTGAGCTATAAAATAGGATTTAAAAACATCAATTGAAGACTTATGACTTATACTTGAAGCCCCAAAGTTCTATTTTTTTCCTATAGTACAGTCCTAAGTTTCTTTCAGTTTCCAGAATCTGTTGCAGCTCCAAGGTCAAGTTTACAGGCTTCTTTTGGAACTGCAATGCTTTACAATGCAGGAACAGCCCAGAAAGATTGCTAACAGAGTCAGCACAATGTAGTGATTATGATGCTGGACTAGGGCCACAGAAATTGAGGTCCAAATCCATAGTCAGCTATGGAAATTCACCAGTTGACCTGGGCCTACTGCTGTCTCTCAGTCCAAGTGCACAGGGAGTTGCTCTGAAGGTGAAATTAAGGATATGTTAGGATTAGAAAAAAAATTAAAAGAAAATTTTGCTTTAACAAAACTTTGAATGAAGCACACTCTCAAAAATGCTATATCATGGTCATCTCCTTTTTAAGACCGAAACAAAATGTCCATATCGCTCTCCTCTGGTCTGCTTTGAAGTCTCTCTCAGTCTTTTCTATATGACAGGAAAAGGCTCAAAAGAGAACTAAGGAGAATCCCATAGGTATGCAAGTACCAGCTAACTTAAAGCCCCCTTGGCATAGCCAAGTGACTACCCAAGCTGGGTAGCAAACACCCCACAGGACACAGCAGAGGGGGACCTCAGACTTACTGCATCCCACCTGATGGAAGTCATTAGTATAGAAAACTGCACCATTCAACTCTCCCATATGCTGGTCAACTGCCAAGCAATCGAAGAGTCTGAAAGGGAGGAGATGAACTGTACAAAAAGGCCAAGAGTCTTTTGGGGAACACTGAAGGAGAACACTAAGAATACTACCAGATTAGTTGCTGACAAGATCTACAACTGCACTAGGAAAAACATGAGCAGCAGCCAAAGATAGGAAGGGGCAGGGAAGCTTAGAGGGAGATCAGGTTTATTTCAGAACTACCAAGAAATAACAAGCCCTTGCATAAGTAGCCAAGATGCTGTAGCCAGTTAATTGTGAGGAGATTAATATCTTTAAGAGGAAAGCAAAACATGATTCTGGATGCTATAAGATCCAGGAATACTATTCCTATTCCTAAATCTGGTCTCTTTATTCCAGTGATATATAAGTCCTACTATCCACAGTTCTATTACATCTATGGACACAAGAATAGTCCAGCTTATATTGAAGAACTATTATTTTTTCCCTTAAAGCTTCTTTGCTAATGACAAGAGAAGAGTTAAATATTTGTTTGCAATATAAGCCTCTATTCCATTAGCTCTGCTCTGTTTTACCTACCCACACTGATGCAGTGTGGAATTTTGTCCTTCAGCATTGAAACATTTTTGTGTTGCCAAGACTACACCCGGTCGGCACCATTTATCAGCCCCTCCACCTCCAAAATGAGCCAACCTACCATATACTTTCCAAACCAAAGCAAAAGATTTCACTCTCTCCAAGCAGGCAGCATCTAGGCAGCAAGGGAACTATTTGGCAGAGAGTTTCCAATGAAAAATCCCCAAGTATGGCTGGATGAGTCAACTCACTGTTTCACAGCAAGTTTCTGAAAAATAGACTAACTAAGCTGTAGCCAGGGAATGCGGTAGAAATCCTCCTCTGCCTTGGTTAAACTGCTGCCAACGACTTGCTCAGTTCTTTAATTCTAGTGTTCATTTTATTCTATAACCTATTTTCTTAAATTTTTTGGCAGGCAAGAATCATTAATTTTTGCTTTTTCATAAATTGTGAAATTGACTTCTGAGTGGAAGTCATATCAGTGATTAACAGTCAACCCAGTTTCCATTTTTTGCTCCCAAGAATACACAATGTTAGTGAAGAGGAAGGACAACAAATAAAAACAGTACAAAAACTATGAGGTTCAAATAGGCAACAAATAGAGCAAGAAACACCCCCTAGTTGAGAATCTCCCCCCCCCATTATCTATCCCAGGGTTTGAAAGCACTCCTCCAATACCACTTTTCCCCCTGCATTCATAGTAAGATCTCTTCTGGAGTAAACAGATCACGTGTTAAAACCAGAAAAAGACTGTGGAGAATCCTAACCACTGATGTTTATTATTTATTTGCATCCTGCATTTATTTTTACAAATAAGCTGGCAAACATATCCAACACACCTCCCTACTTCTATTTTTCCCATAACAACAATTCTGTGAGGTGGATTGGGCTGAGAGTGTAATTGGCCCAAAGTCACTCTGTTGGCTTTCATGGTTTTCCCATTTGCAGAAAGAATTAACTGGTATCTTGCATAGCTCCAGTTTTAGTCAATTTAAACAGAAACAAAAGATGTATTTTTCAGTCTGGCAGGAAAACAAGTTGCTCACTGAAAATATCGTCTTAGTGAACTATAACATGATGATATACCAAAAGTCAAGCATGCAACCTTATTGGTTCCTTAAGCACCACTGTGTGCATGTTTTGCTTCTCAGAACCAAAAGCATCAACAACATGCAATTACCACCACCAGGTGTCTGTGCAATCATCTTCTACTTGATATCTATAAGGTAAGAAAGCAGCCTTGCTCTCCATATAAAAGACTGAAAGAATAATGCATTATAACATATAGGCTAAAATATAGTTGCCTAATTGTGAGCAATCAGTATTCTGTGAAGCCACTGAATAAAGTTATTTTATGGTTAAATATGTTATACAAATTTAGGTAACTATGCTAATGTGATAAAACATAGTTATATAATCTAGGGTATTATAAATTGTTCAGATAAGAGATCAACATGCATGCTGGGCAGGTGAGTTTTTCAGGTGAAAAAAACACAACTTTAACAGAAATGGGGCAACATATGAAAGTAGCATCTCCAGATAGCAGAGCTGGCTCAATATTTTCCTTAGTCACTGTATATTATTTGTGCATGTAAATAGGAGTTAACGTCTATATTGTGCTGCACTAATTCCATATATGGAAGAAAAACTCATTTAGAATGGCAATTTAATAGGCGGGGTTACATTCCAAACTCAAACTAATTCTTTCAACTCTGTCCCCTATACACTTCCCATCCTTAAAATGCTATCTTGTACTACAAAGGACCCAATATTCCTCCCATGCCATAAATAGTCAAAAGGAACAAATCTTCACAATTGCCCTTAAAACACATTTATAATTATCCTCTCCACAAAGCAAACCACATTGAAGGTACAAATATTATCCTGGGCATATTGCTCTAACTGTCCTAAAAATATTCATCAATCTTCTGTGACAAAATATCAGCAATGTAATATTTAAATGAATCCTTCACTGATAATGAAATTTCAGTTTATTTATTTATTTTATGAGACTTATATACCGCTTTAAGTGCAAGCACTCTCTAAGCGGTGTACACCAGTAAGCAATGTATATATATATATTTACATTGCCCCCAACAATCTGGGTCCTCATTTTACCTACCTCGGAAGGATGGAAGGCTGAGTCAACCTTGAGCCGGTGAGATTTGAACCGCTGACCTGCTGAACACAGTCAGCTAAAGTGGCCTGCAGTACTACACTCTAACTGCTGCGCCACCTCGGCTCTATTGAAAGGAAGGATGCTACACCATCTTCTAAGGTAATTAGGGTAGCAATGGTATGATTAAATGGAAATATTAACAGAGCAAAGCTGTTATAATCTGGTCAAAATATAGCATTGCTGTTTTGATTTCTGCATAGGAAAGAGAGTGAGTGTTGGCAACAAAAGATGCACTTATCATCTGGTGATAGGCACCTGGCAAGTTCACAGGATTCAGCTTTCCAATCGTCTGGAGCCAGCAGCACTTCCCTCTCTCCACCAGAGGACAAGGCTACATTCATTTGTGAGAATGAAAACTGCACAATGAGAGTAGGAAAACTTCTCATGTCAGCATTGAGACCATTTTTATCTTTGGTATTTGTAATTCAGGCTTGTGT